GGGTCGTGAGGCTGGGTTTGTTTTCCGTGGGCGGGTTGGGGGTGAGTAAGTGGCGAGCTGCCTCGAAGGGAGGGTAAAGAGAGGGAGACTAGGCGGAGGAAGCCTGCAGGGAACGGTTCTCCTTGCTCCCTAGAGGCTGGAATAGCCGGATGGGAGGTCTGGACGTTGCTATTGGGGGTGAAAACCGTGGGAACCCTGAGCCCGGGTGGGGGAGGGGTGAGGAACTGAATCCAGACCTGCTTAGCTGTTGGCCTATTAGATGTGGAACAAGCTTGACCTCACCTGTGCTCACTCTAACCTGATATCCTTGAGTGCCCTGAAGTCCACAAAAGACACCTCCATCCACCTGGGAGCCTATGCCGGACCCCTAGGAGGCATCAGCGCTCCCTCATATTCCACATTCACTTAATCCTGTGGATTCTACTTCTGTAAATTAGGTTCTTCCTCCAAGTGTCCTCAGGAAGCACTTGCCTAGCAGATCTGTTAGGGTCTCACTTTTAGTTATCCAGTCATTCATTTATTCAGCTGTCCCTCCACACTGCTGCCAGAGATCCTTTAAAAAGTTGATGCGAACGGGATGGGATCTAAAATCCTCCCAAACTCCTCCTTACTCCCTCCCTCTTGGAGGATAAAAAAACCATATTTCTTAATATGGTATAGACGGTCCCTTGTTTTGGCCCCTGCCTACTGCTCTAGCCTCATCTGTACACTCCCAACCTCACCCCCAATACACAGTCTTGCGCTGCATTAATTCTGAAATAGGAGCAGGAGCTGAAAACGGCCATATTTAATGTTAAGACATTTTATAGATTCTGTTACCTTTCCCTAGAATGCCCTTTCCACCCCCTCCGTCCTTCCCAAGGCTGGTTTTCTGTGGCCTTTAAGACTCGGATCAAGTGTCAGCACTGCTGGAAAGCCTTCTCTAACCACTTCCCCCCACTCACACTCCCTTTGGAGCATTGAACTGCTACTCTAAAAGGTTAGCAGTTCAAACCCACCAGCTGCTCCTTAGAAACCCTATACAGGGTCGCAATAAGTGAGAACCAACTCCACGGCACTTAACAACAACAACGCAGCCCCTTCCCCACTTAGGTTCACTATCTAGGGCAGGCATCAATGATTATCATCTGTTCTTATTTCTTGACTCCTCCACTGATGAGTACTCAAGAGCGAGGAATGTGTTTTTCAATTCTGAGTCTCTAATGCCTGACACAAGGAGCTCTGGTAGCATAGTGGTTACGAATCTGGCTGTGAACCACAAGGTCAGCAGTTCGAAACTACCAAGCTGTTCCACGGGAGCAAGAGGAGGCTTTCTGCTCCCGTAAAGATTTACAGCCTTGGAAACCCTATACAGGGTTGCTGAGTTGGAACCGACTCCACAGCACACAACAACAATGCCTGACACAGCCCAAAGGCACAGAGTTGATACTTGGTAAATGAATGGTGACTTTTATGAACCAGGCTCCTGGTACACAAAGATAACTAAGATACTGTGCGGATCTAGAATACCTTACAGTCTAGTGCAGTTCTCAAACTTTTGAAACTTGGAACCTCTTTATACTCTTTAAAAATTATCAAAGATCCCAAAGAGCTTTGGTTGAAGTGGGTTATGTCCATCAATACTTACCATATTAAAAATGGAAACAGAAAAAATAATTCACTAGAAATAAAAACAAACCCATTACACATTAACATAAGTTCTTTTTTGTATATTCCCAAATAATTATATATTCCCAAATAAGGAGAGGAAAAGCAATTAATTTTGCATTTTTGTGTATCTCTTTATAGTGTAGTTTAATATAGGATACCTAGAGTCTCAAAATCTTCTTCATTCAATCTGTTATTTTGTATTGGCTTGGCTTAAGTATATGCAGAAAAGCTGCTCTCACACAAATATGTAGTTGGAAAAGGGAGAAGTATTATTATAGACTTTTCAGATAATGGATCTTCTCGTATACTGCACCAAACCTCGACAAGTGGTAGTTTTTTAAGGATTAGTTGCAGTATAGAAAGTAAAACCCTATCAATGACTTTTCATATGTTACATTAAAGGGTTATTGGTTATTTCATATGTTACATTAAGGGTTATTGGTCTGTCTTGTATTTTGGTTAGATCTTTACCCATGCAGAATTTTATAACATCATTCACTGGTCATTTGGAAAATATTGGTTCATTATATATTATCAAAAAGTTATTCTTTAGTATCACCAACAATTTCAACAGAAAAATCATGGGAAACTATAAGACTCTTGGTGGCAGGTACAGGTCTTCCAAGATTTAAATATTTTAAAATGTTTCAGAATCGTTTGGAAACACTGTCAAGTACTTGGTGGCAAATGCAGTTTTTCAAGATTTGAATTTTCTCTTGAAGCTTGAATTGGTCAGATACTGTCAGCTTTTTTTTCCTCCCTAGAATGAAAGATTCACTGTTTCTTTTTGAACTGAAAAAATAACCAGTAAGTCTTTGTTATTCTTTCCAGTAAAAATGGTGTTCCATGAAAAAAACAGCTAGTTCAGCTTACAACTTTCTAAGTGCTTTTCCTTGAGTTAATCATCACATAGCAGACATGCTTTGTATTTACTTTCCATTTCATCACATAGAATATTGAAGACTTTTTAATCCTTTGTCAAGGACATACTGAAAGGAAGCTAGCATTTCTTTTTTAAATTGCTAACTCATGGAGGGTAAAGAATACAATGTCCTGGTGTGGCACTGTAGGATAAGAACTGGACTGCTAACCACAAGGTTGGTGGTTCAAATCCACCAGCCACTCCATGGAAACCCTATACAGGGTTGCTATGAGTCGGAACTGACTGAATGGCACTTGACATTAGTAATTTGCTGCCTCTGCCTTGATTTAAGCTAAGGCAGTTTTACTCAATCCTTTTGTATCAGTGCTAATATTGGTGCTGTGGGATAAACACTGGACTGCTAACTACAAGGGCGGCAGTTCAAACCCACCAGCTGCTTCTAGGAAATCCTATTTCTTGTTGTTAGGTGCCATCGAGTCGGTACCGACTCATAGCGATCTTATGCACAGCAAAACAAAACACTGCCTGATCCTAGGCCAACCTCACCGAACCCTATACAGGGTCACTAAGAGCTGGAACTGACTTGTCAATACTTAACAAATGTTAACATAGTGAAAAGGAAAATAATACTTTTTAAATAAAAATATTAAAAAATACATAATTTAATTTTTTATCTATGTTGAACTGCCGAAAAAGTGTTGGTGGCCCCCAAGAAACCATATTTTAAAGACAACTAATGGGTGTTTTTCCTCTCTCCAAAATGAGGCATGTGGCAGGGAAAAGGAAGTAGGACCAAGTAGCTGTCCTGGGCATGTAGCTGGGGTGTATCAGACTGAACTACCACTTGTCATGTTATTGAAGTTGTAGTAGGAATTTGAACTCCAAGGTTCTCAGCTCACAATGCTATGATATTGAACCTAGGACTAGAGACCCTAGCAGTAGGTACTGGAATTGGCAGTCCTCTGCGTCAGACATGATTATACATCTTGTTTTCTAGTACATAGCATGGGCATGGTGTAGTAAATATTGAATGAATGAATCACAAGTGGAAGTTGGCACCTTCCCTAATAGACTGATGAGGGAGGGTAAAGTAGTTACATCTACTAGTGGTGTTGGGGTAGGTGTCATGACTTTAAGGAAGCAAAAGGTGCCTAGCTAGAGTAGCAACTGGTGTTTGTGAGGCTTATTATTTTAGCAAAATTACCTTTGAAAATTCAAATCTGGCAGGGGGCTGGATTCTTTCACATGCTCTGTGTAGTTCTAAAGAACTGAGTATCCTTGGTAGCCACAAAGAGCATGGAGGGAGAAGCGAGGAAATAACATACAGGAGAACAGGACTGACTGAAGAATCATGAATGAAGACGTGGCAGATCTCACTTAGACTGTCAAGACAGTCTACGTGGCTGTGAGTACAGGGGGCATGAATATGGAAGGAAATGGAAACACACAGCACCATCTGCCCTCCCCTCAGAACCACCTTGAGCAAGGTGGCTGCAATAGGGCTGCTAGCACCTTCTGGCCACTAGGGGTGCTTTGCCCTCAAATACAGTGTCACACGTGGGTCAAGTTTTCTCCCTTTTTAGTAATGTACTAGGAGTTCCTCATTGCAATCAACAGCATTGGCTTGCTAACTCACTCAACCTAGATCTGGGACCAGCATTTTCTTAGGCTCAGGTACTTGTATCTTAGAGGCTTACTATTTTAGCAAAACTGGCTGTGAAAATTCCAATCTGGCCTGGGGCTGGATTCTTTCACATGCTCTGCATAGTTCTAAAGAATTGAGTGTCCTTGGTAGCCACAGAGCAGTGGTAGCTGCTGTCCCAGTTAAGAGAAGAATGACACTTGGTAAGGCTTATGTATGGGACAGTGAGGTGGGGGACACCAGGAGTATGCCTTCTCAGGAACAACAGGGATCTGGTTACAAGGAGAAGAAAGGGGTCTCATGCGCCACCACCCCGCCCCCAATACCATTTCTGAGCCAGAGGATCAACCTGAGTGATTTCCCTTGGGGAAATCCCATTTCCTTATGAAGCAAGCCAGAGGTTGCACATAGAATCACCTTTATTGGAGCAAGACCTGTTTGGTTACAGCCCTGCAGCCCTCATGGGTAGCTGGGTTTAGGAATAGACAGTATCAAAAAAAAAGGACAAGTAGAGCTGAAGTGGGGTCTGGCTGGAAGCCGCTGGCAGGGTGGAGCAGGCCAGGGCCCTGGCAGGTTTGAACTGAGGTACAGCAGCGTTAATAATACTCTTGGAGCGTTAATACTCTGGGGAGGGGCAGGCACTTAGGGGGCCCTAGGGCATGAAGGCACTTGGAGTCGGGGAGAAGACAGGGGATGTGCAGTGGGCCTGGCAGGCACTTTGGGGAGTGCTGGGACTGGGCAGGTTGGGCCCTGACAGCCCAGAAAGCTTTGGTAGTGGCAGGCACAGTCTCTGGGCTGGGTCTGCGTTAAATAAAAGTAGCTGCCCTAGTGCTCATCTCGAAGCTCTGAAGGCAGAAACTTGTACTGTTGCTGCCGAATCTGAGCTAGCTTCTTCCGTGCCTCCTCCAGCTCTCGTTCCTTCCGCAACATCTCTTCCTGCGCTGCGATGATCTGAGGGAGGGAGATGGGGGATTCAGTCAGTGGACAAGTGCATTAGGAGTATGAGGGACGTACATTATTTGAAACCGGGTAATGTGATTGCCCTCCTGACAATGTTCCTGAGTGTCTGCGGCAAAAGCTCACCTGGGCAATGCCCCCAACCATCTTTTCCTTCACCACCACTGTCTCATTCTCCTGGTCTTCAAAGGCTGCTGCCTTCTGAGCTGCTCTCACCAGGTTATCTGAGGCTCGCTTCACTGCATTGCCAGCAGCCTGGACCAGAGAGAAGGCAGTGTGAGCTTGAGAACTCAGGCCGGGTCCCTAGGGGTGAGGGACCTCAACTCCTTCTGAGAAAAGCAGGTGTTGGGGTAACAGCTTAAAGCAGTCCACAGTACAATGGGTCAGATCAGGGTTCCTTACCTGAAGCCGTTTCATTGCTTCAGAATCCTGGTCAGCCTTGACCTTGCAGGCCACAAGGAGCTGGGCTGTGGAGGCAGCGACCTGCTTGGCTGATGAGATGAGCTTTTCCTGGCTGGCATGGCCTTGTACAGCTGCGTTGGCGGCCTCACACAGATTGTTAGTGGCTGCAGCCACCATCCGGGCCTAAAGCGAGGGAGCTAGATTAAAATATGCCTTTTCCTGCACTTCATCTCCTCTCTAGCCTTCCCAAGTCTCACAAGTTCAGAGAGACCTAGTAGGTGTTATACACTCACAGCAGAAATGAGGCCCTGGGACCACTGCCCATCATCCAGTGCGTTGGCTGGAATGGCGCCCACCTATGGAGGAAGAGGGAGAAAGTGTTAGCTTAGTCTAGTGCTCATCATACCTGGAAACTTGGATCATGAGGGGAGGTGGACAGCAATGCTATTGCTCTGTTCCCTTCTTCTGGGCTTTTAAGTACTTACTTTCCCTTGGGCCACCAGTTCCCGCTGGGCAGCTGATGCAGCCTTCACCAGGGCACTGGTGGCTGCTGCTATGGACTTGGCAGCTTCCAGTATCTGCTCTTCAAAGTTCAGGGACTCATCTGCCTCCTGCAATGATGAGACAGAGGTTGTAGAGAGAGTTGCAAAGCCAGAGACAGGGCTGGAGGGAGGGACAGTCTGTCATTATGAGTGCAAGGAAGAGGGAGGGTGCAGGGTTGACCTTGGGCTTGGCCCGGGGCTTCAGCTGCTCTAGCTTCTTGGCTGCAGCTTCAATGGCAGCTGCGGCTCCCAGAAGTTCATTTTCAGCAATGACTGTGGGGTCCTCGGGGTCTACCCATTCTGTTCCTGGTGGGGTGAAGGGGAAAGACAGGTACTAAGGCAGGGTGCAGAGGTCAGGAGCACTGGGGGACTACGGACAGAGATGAGCTCAGAGCCATCTAACCAGGAGTAGAGCTGTCACCATGACTGGGCTCCCTTTCTTCCATGCCCCAGTCAGCCCTCACCTTTCATGGCCTCAGCAGCCTGGATGAGCTCAGTCACCGAGCCAGCCACACGCTTTGAGTGGCCAGTCAATTGCTGCTTCAGTTCTGGGCTTGGTTTCTGCAGCGTCTGTGGGGGGATGGGTGGGAAGCAGGGAGAATGAGAGCCTCGGTTTTACCCTGATCTAAGAAACAGGACCAACTACAGTCCCTGACTCCATCCCAGACCCCTCCGGCACCATGCTACCATCTAAGCCCATTCCATGCATCCCCGTCACTGCACACGGGATGAAGACAGCGGGGGCTACACTGCACTCACCGGCTGACAAGGAGAATGTTGAAATGAGGAGAAAGGAGAGGTCAGGTGGGGAAGAGGAGAAAAGAAAAAGAGGAAGAGGAAGAGGTGAACGGAGAGAATCAAACATAATTTAAGAAGGCTGGGGTCCCAGTGAGGATATTTGAAAACAGGAGCAGATTTGAGAAACAGATGGTGGTATTTGAACATACAACTTGAGAACTGGGCTGGATGTTTGCGGGAACAGGACTGTGCATTCAGGGAGGCTGCTATGAGGCCCAGTCTTGCCCTTACCAGGAGCACATGGTCCAGCAGTTCCAGGTAGCCATTGGCACATTCTCGGCCATAGTGCAGTGCTCGAAGGCGCATATCAGGAGCCACTTCTGGGTGATAAGCTGCTTCCTGTTCCCCACCCCGAGTAATATGTTAGTTTTAGGATCCCAAAGAGCTCCTCACCCCCGGCACCTGGACTGTTTCCCTCCTCCTATGTTCTCCAAAGCTGCCTGACTACCTCAGACAAGCACCAGGATTTCTACCTTGCAAGATCGAAGCATATCTGCGATAGCACGACGACTCAGGTTGGCTGTAGCAATGACATCTTCTTGGCGACAAGAATTGCCAGCAGCAACAGCCTTAGCTGTTGCCATGGTGATACCCTTGGTCATGCGGATGAAATCTTCTGGGGTAGAGGTCTTGGCAGGTGGCTCTGGAGAACAGAAAACCTGTTGGGGCGGAACAACAGCAAAAAAGATTTTACAGTGAATGAAGATGTATGACAGTGAAGTAATCTGTATATGTTTAATTTGGTAAGTTCATGTACAATACAAGTTCATTCAAGAAGCATCCACTGAGTACTTATTGTAGATCAAGACCTTGGAGAAGCTCTCATGCTCACAGCTAATACACTAGAAAGCAGTTGGTTATCATTTGTAACTGAAGTAATCGGAGAAAGTTTGTTTAAAATGGAAGTAGCTTTAGAACTGGGTTTTCATTCCTAAAAGAGAGAAGCTGGAAGTTTCTCTATATGTGAGGCAAGGAAGAGTTGGGTCTTAAGAGATAAAGATAATAGGAGGATATTTTAAGTAAATGGAGGTATGTGAATAACCAGGATATCAAAGTGGGAAAGAAGCATGGGCTGTTTTAAAATATTGGGATGGTGGAGAAAAGGTTGCTGGGGGCTTGAGTAGCAGTAGACTGAAGAACTTAAAAGAGTTTTACACAATAGGTAAATGTCAGACAAAATTGTGATGCATATGTTCATCCAACAAATGCTTATTAAAGTTCATTTAGGTGGTAGATATTGAGCAAGGTGTGGGGATGCAATGGAGAAAATAAAGCTAATAAGGCCCTTGTTTTCATGGACCTTATACTCTAGGCTCTGTAGGATAAGCACAATGCTGCGAACCACAAGGTCAGCAGTTCAAGCCCACCAGCTGCTCCACAGGAGAAAGATGAGGCTTTCTGTTCCTGCAAAGATTTAAAAAAAAAAGGCTTGGAAACTCTATACAGTGTCACTGTGAGTTGAAACTGATTCGAAGGCATTTAACAACAACATGCACTAGTTTTGAATATGGAAAATAAATAGGTAAACAAGTGAGCAGAACAATTGTAAACTAGGATTTGGGCTATGAACACATTACTGTGATGAGAAATAAAAGGGGCGTCCAATTTTTCAATAGGTGGTCAGGGGAGACTTCTCTGAGGTCATATTTAGGCTGAAGCCTGAAAAGATGGAAGGAGCCAGATTATTAAAAAAAAAAAAAAGTACAAGGGCACTGCATTTGACACAAAAAGCTTGGCATGTTCTCGGAACTGACAGCAGTGTGGCTGGGGCACAGATAGGAGAAGGAGGTAGGAGCCATGGGCCTTAAAGGAGTCGGGACTTAACTAGAGATGACGAGTGCTGACAGTTGGTCTGCAAGGGACGGAGGAATAGGAAAGAAAATGGAGAAGGGCAGTTATTGCCTGGAAATAGTGAGTAAGACAGTAAAGCCAAAGAGGACTGAGGTGGAATCTTCAGAATTGGAAGGCTTTTCATACCATTAATAAGAAGTGGTATGTCAGGAAGAAAAATTGCTTTGGAGGCACTGCAACTAGGTGGTGATATCAAACAGGCAGTTGGAAATAACAAAACTCAGAATTGGAAGTCAACTTCTTGGAGAATAATAATCTAAGTGGTTAAACTTGCCAAAGAAGAGAGCACACAAGACTATAATTCTGGGAAGGTCTCTGTGTTTATTCAGGAGAAGAGGTGAAGGTGGTTCAGTGATGTGAACATAGGTGAGCTATTAGTGAGGCAAAGACCAGTGTCAAGGGAGTCAAAGGAAGAAAGACGCTCAAAGACATTATTATCTGAGCCAAATACTTTGGAAATGCTTGGAGAGGATGAAGGCCAAGAAGAAGCAAATCAATGTGGTACCTTAGGAGGCCATGGGTGACTAAGGAAAGTGAGAGTGTGCTGGTGAAAGAACAGAGGTTGTAAAAGTCCAGGAGTAAATGTGTGAGGATGGGATGGGCATGAGTGTAGCTCAGGAAACTTGGCGATGAACAGTGTGAAGGCTTTTATCTCTGCAATATATGAGCTGACGCTCGTAGTCTATCACGGTCCCTCTCTAACCCAGGTCCCTGATGCCTCAGGCTTTCTCTCACCGCCAGTTCCTGCCGTATGTGTTCTGTGGTTGCTTCCAGGGCTCGTGTGCCTTTGGTGGCCTCATCTTCCACAGCTTTCACTGTCTTGAGCAGTGATGTCACATTGGTCACCATGACCTGGGTATCAGAAGAGTGGGGGAGGGGGTCATTGTAAAGAGCAGAAGAAAGAGCATTAACCTCCTACCCCTCCCTCTCCTGCTGTTGCTCTCATCACTCCCACCTTGGCAGAGTTCTTGAGCTGCCACACTGCAGGGTCGTCCCCAACTTTGCCAGCTGCAGCCTTTGTTGCACTGATGAGATCTCCCAGGGCCTTGGCCACATCTTTCACTGCATTGATCAATACCACCTGTGTGGGAGAGGCTACTGTAGTCTGTTGGGGGAAAATGGGACCCAGAAGTGGTTCTGACCAGAATTAGGGGCATCAGATGGATGGGTACCTGAGTCTCAGGGTCCTCAGCTCCCAGGCTGGCTGCACCTAACTTGACCACATCAGCGAGGCGAGTGATGGTAGCCACAGAGGACTGGGCAGCCTGAGCCAACTTCTCCTGGCTCCCAGCTGCATTCTGCACCAGGACCTTGGTGTCCTCTACCAGTACCTTTGCAGTCTTCAGAATGCCTTCCCTATGGGGAAGTCCAGCCTTCTTAGCTCTCCTCGGTGCTCCCCTACCCTTTTCAGTCTTTGCAAGTTTCCAGACCAAAGTCTGTCCACAGGAGCTAATGATACTGTGCCTTTTCTGGCCCCTTTCCCCCACTTGCCTCCCTTAGGCCTAGTCCCCTGCTCACCGGTGGTCCGCGAAAGTTTCAGCACCTTCACGATTGAGTGTGCCAGCTGTGGCAAACATGATAGTGGTGTCAAGGTCAGCAATGATACCAGACACAGCACTGGCCGCTGTGATGCAGGCCTGGGTGCCCCGATTCCCAGCCTGGAGAGCAGCCAGGACATGGGAGACCTGGGGTAGAGAACATTACACGGTGACCAGGGAAGGGGCCGTGTCAGGGAGAAGGGAAAAGAGTAGGGGCTGGGAAAGTTGTGGAGGAAGAGAAAGGCTGTAAGGTTGGGGAACCACTCTCAGGGATGAGCTCGGGGTAACACAGTCACCTTCTCAGAGACTCTCCGGGCACATTCTATCAGCTCCTTCTTAGTGTAGGCATCACTGGGGCTGCACTGAAGGGCACCTGCCTTGGTGACCAGAGCAGAGCAGCCATGTCCCAGCTCCTGTACCCGGTGCTTGATGTGGGCACCGATCTGTGAGAAGATGGGAGAGACAGGTTTTACCAGGGACATTCTGAATCCCCGCATGGTGCTTGGAGGTGTGCTACAGAGGAGTCGGGAAGGACCTAGAAAACACATGCATCACAGACAAAGGGCTTATGAGAAAAATCCCAGCACATAGACCTTTACTGTCTCATATCCTTTAGGCAGGAGGTCACCTCCTACACATGGAAAATGACAGCACGTAGGCACCAACTGGTGAGGGTTGTGCTAAGCATGGTGGGAGGCGGGAGAGAAGCACTTGATGCCTGGGAGTGTGAATCAGAGAGCCATGGATTACACTTTGGCCGCCATGGGATAGGGGTGGGATGTTGGGGGTAAGGATTAGGCGAGTCATCCTAAGATCCAGTTACTTGCTTTCTTGGAAAGTCTCGCGATTAAGGAAGGAAGAGTTTTGTGGCTTTGCCACAAGGAAGAACCAAGAAGGGAATCCAGACTTGCAGGAGAGCAGAGACAGATCACTCTTTAGTGGTGTGGCCCTTACCATGACAGACCAGAGGGTGTGAGAATGGGACAGCCCCAGAAGCTGACATGAGACTAGGGCTCAGGTCACTGGGATTTCCTGTGAGGTGTTGGGGGAAGGTCAGTGCTGTCTCCGTATTTACCTCTTCATTTTCAGCAGCCACAGCTGCAGGCTTAGCCTGGGAGGCCAGACGGCCATAGTCACTGGTCAGCTGGTTAGCGAGAGGGCCCAGCTCCTCAGGGCTGGTGTTTGACTTGGTTACCTGGCGATAATGGAGGCAGGGAGGTTATGTCTAAACTCAGCTCTCCAAGGGCAGTCCTCTTATAATCTCCCCAACTCACCATTTCCTGGACAGTGACAGCAATGGCCTTGGCTGTCCGAACCATAGTTGTCTGGTAATCCACGAAGGAACCTTCTGGTTCACCCATTGGTCCTTCGTCTAGCTGAGGAGGGGAAGAGAAAGTGTTGGGGACATTGCCACTGAGCTCGGGGCCCGTGGCCCAGGGTAGCCTCAGCATCCACAGGCATCCTTAGACTCTCACCTGGTTTATGGCCTGGGTGATGGAGTCCACCATGCCACCAACGACCCCAGCAGCACTGGCTGCCTCATTGAGGGTTGTGGTCAGATCTTCGACGGCCTCTGTCATCATCTGTACAGCCTCCTCTAGGGCTTCTTGGGTGTGAGCTGCCTGCTGTGGGGTGAGAGGGCATGAGTCCAGTGGCTTCTCTGATGGCGTTTCCGGTGGACCCTCCCTCCTGGCTCTCCATACCTTGGGGTTACCCCCAGCCTCCTTAGCTGTATACAGCAACTGCAGGGCAGATTCTGCCAAAGTTTTCGTCTGGTCCAGGAGTGCCATCTGCTGTGGGTGGCTCAGGGTCTTGGAAGCAGCACCCACTGCAGCCAAGGTGAGGGGCTCGAAGTACTGAGCCATCTGGGACACCTGTGGCAAGGGGTTTGGAACAGAGTCAGCAGGGCTTGGCACCCTGTCTTACCTACCCCTGTGTGTCTCCCCAGGTACCTTGTGTCCCAGCTGGGAGGCCTCAGCCCGGGCAGCACTGGCCAGTGGCTCAATGAGGTGGGAGATCTCCTGCACTGCAGTGAGCATCTGAGTGTGCAAGGCCTGGGGGAGGAAGTGACGTCAGCCCTGACTCTGACCTGGAAGAGGGCTCTCTGGTTGCACAGAACCCCATCCTTCCTCCATGCTGGATTAATGAAACCACCTTGGTAGACCCAACCTCCTCAATGTCCCTATGAAGTCCACTCCTTGATAACCCATCTTCCTCAGGTCTGACATCCCTTTTCTCAGATGTCCCCCTCACCTCTTGAGAGATTCCCTCACGAGGAGCAAGCTGCTGGCTGACTGCAGCCAGGGAAGCCTGGTCTAAGTCCCGCAGACAGCTGTTCAGAGCTGCAATGGCCGTCTCACACTCCAGCTGCCCTGGAGCCTTGTCCCTGCAGACACATCACAGGCGCCAGCTCCAACATGCCTCCCCTTAAAGCCAGCTTAGTCTATGCTCCCAGGGCCCCCCCAAGTTTTGGCAACAGGTTTCCAGCATTATGCCATCTAATCACACTGAGGCGCCCAGCCCCTCCCTTCTGCCATCTCAATACCTCATGCTTGTAATAAGCTTCTTAATGGAGTCTGAGACAGTACGGGAGTGGCTGGCCAGCACTGACCACCGTGGCGGGTCCCGGGGGTTGACAGCTAAGGCCCTGGCTGTCTGGATCAGTCCCCCAGCACTCTCCAACATTGTCTTGGCAGAAGTGACAATAGGCTCCATGGCAGCCTGGCCCTGGGCAGGGAGGAGGCAGGGAGGTCAGTTTCAAGACTCCCCAGGAGATGGAGTTGCTGAGCTTATCCCTCAGTCTTCCCTTTGCAGTGCCTTACCTCAGGACTGATCTGAGCAGCAATACTGGAGAACTCAGGGTTGGATGCAAAGGCACTCAGATTGTCCACAGCCTCCAGCAGAGGGGCTGTTGCTGCTTGACACTGAGCCCGATTCTCCTCTGTGAAGGCCCCGTCTAGTGCCTAAACGCAGGAGTGAGAGAGGCTTTCAGGACTCAGACTCTAGGCATAAGAGGTAAAGCCCAATCCCTACCCCCAGGTTTTCATGGGTTGTGGAGATGTTAGTGGTAATTGTATGGATTGGAAGGGCTTGGGCTCAGGCAGATAGGATTTGATACAAGGTCACAGTGGATTCATTGAAGAGAAAACTGGATAGGTTAGGGAGATGCTGGGAATTCAAACGCTGGGAACCTTGATGGTCTTGACAAGATTAGCTGTGCTGTTGGCCACATCCTTGGCTGACTGTACAAATTGGCGCTTGGCGGTTGGATTGGCGGTGCGGGCAGAAGCCAGGCGGCAGCTGTTACACAATGCAGAGGTGTGTTTGGCCACAATGGTGGCTGCAGAGAGCACCTGAGGAGATAAGTCATATATAAGGCATATGAAGAACTATGAAGAACATGGGAGCAAAGTGTAGAGACCCAAGGAGGAACCAGAGTTGGGTAGTTATACCCTTGGAAGTCTAAGAAAGAAGAAAAGTCAAGATTTGGGGAGCTAGCGATACTCCTGGATGAACTGAGTATGGAGCAAGGAGAGATGGGTGATAGATACACTGATGGAGAAATCTAAATAAAGTGGAGAGAAAGTGTAAACATCTATAAAGTTGTTGTGAATTTAGCAGTAACTGAAAGAATGATGAGAAACATGGCAGGAAAAGACAACGACCCCAAGAGAAGCTGTGTCTGGAAAGTTAGAGGTGGCTTCCTGCCCTTCTCTCCTCTGCATGTCCCAAGTCTCCCTCTTTCCTCACAGGGGTGGGTCTATCCTGGCTCAGCACCCTTATCTACACCGGCCCACAGCATCTCCTTGAGTTACCTGGGCCTGCGTACATCCAGGCTCCCCCAAACTCTGACAGGCCATTTGAATTGCCTGGTTGGCACGTGCAAACTGTGTGGGCTCCACCAGACCTTGCTGTCCAGCTTGGCTGTTGGGGTCAGAAACACCAACTAAGTATGCAGCCTGGAGACAGAAAAGGGGGATAGGGTGAGGCATAAAGACTGCTGGTGGGAAGTAAATAGTAATAGTAGGGGACAAAGGAGAACAAGGGTAGCATTGGAGATCAGGATTTTTTTGCCAGGGCTCTATGTGAGTAGAGACATATTAAAAAACTATGTATACACAGTAAGGCGTCCTGGTGTAGTGCTATGGGTTAATGCGCTGGACTGTAAAATCAGTTTAAACTGCAAGGTTCAAGCTCACCAGCTGCTCCTGGGAAACCTTACACAGTCGCTATGGGTTGGAAACGACTCGATGGCACTTAACAATAACAAAAAAATGCACTGTAAAACAAAGCTGATTTAGAACAACAACTCTCCTCCTCTGTTTAAATTCATACAAACATTTTAGAAATCATATAGTAAGGGCTTTATCAGATGTCTATTTAGACGTGTGTGTGGATGGCAGTCTTAAGGAAAAAGGGAAGGAATGGGTACAGTGGCTGCTAAGGAAACAGTTTTATAATTTGAAGACCATCATAACGTTTAGCTCATACTTCATTCAACATGAAGAGGCAAATGGGGGGTCAGGGAGTGAGGTGTAGGAGAGTCTCAGCAAGTAGGATGGTAGGTTTTTGGAGAAGAAACAATCTGAGATGAACTCTCAAGCCAGTTTGTTTTGACACAAAATACTTAGAGCTAAAAAAAAACAAACCCAAATCCACTGCCAACAAGTTGATTCTGATTCAAAGCAACCCTCCATGACATAGTACAACTGCTCCTTGGAGTTGATGAGACTGTAAATCATTCTGGAAGCAGACTGTTTCATCTTTCTCTCTCAGAGACTGTACATGGGAAATGGGTTCAGACCTTTAGGTTATCAGCCCAATGCTTAACCTACTTTGCCACTAGGGCTCCTTCAGAGTTAATAGGAGATTGTTGGTGTTGTTATGTGCCGTTGAGTTGACTTCGACCCATAGCAACCCTGCATACGGTTTCTGAGGAGCGGCTGGTAAGCTTGAACTACTGACCTTGCAGTTTAAACTGACCTTGCAATCTAGTGCATTAACCCACAATGCCAATTATATTTATATTGGGCTACAGAGAAAAAGGACTCCTGTAGGATCAGCACTAGACTGCTAACCATAAGGCCAGCAGTTCAAATCCACCAACTGCTCCTTGGAAACCCTATACAAGGTAGCTCTGAGTCAAAACTGACTCCAAAGGCACTTAACAACAAAGTCAAAAAGGTAAGGTTAAATGGCTACTCAAACAACTGAAAAATTGGTTGACAAATATCAATTTGATAAAAATGATTTGTATATGCACATTAGTACATACTGAGAAAGCCACAGCTAGCAAAGCCCTAACAGACGGACACCACTATTCAGAGGTTGGAACGATCAGAGTATCAGGGAATATATCTACTTCTGAAGGAGAAGTTGGTTTATTATATTATTTAAACCTTCTGGTTTATCTATGTATGCGTCAGCCTAAGAAAATAGGGGTAAGGCCTAGAACCATCTCAGGAAACTAACCTGTGCAGCTGCCTCGGTGAAGCCACACAGGGCCTTGGAGGCGGTAGCAATGGCCTCCCCAAATTCAGGTAGGTTTCCATTCTTGGCATTTTGGGAGATCCCAGTCATGGCCTCACCCAGCACCTGAGGAACGGAGGGCACCAGCAGTCAGTTCCTGTCTTCAGAGAGGCAGAGGAGCATCTGGTTACTTCTAGCTGCCTGCCCTTTTCCCCCCAGGACTCCTGTCTTACCTTTGAGTTCTCCATTACACTGTCCAGGCAGCCAAAGTAGGACATGTCATTGATGGGCTGGACGGGGTTCTCCAGGAGTTCTCGAACCGTCTGGGTAGAGGGAGGGAGAAGCAAAATCCCTCAGTCCTAAACCCACTCCACCTTCCTCCACCTCCACACTGAGTCTGCCAGTGCCCACCTCCAGTTCCCTCAGGGCATTGCCACACTCTTTCTGGCCAGGAGCCTGCTGAGTGCACATGGTGATGAGTTGGTTGATGCTGTCAGTCACTGCCCTGGGAGAGGCAGAAAGTTGAATGAATATGACATCATTTCTGGGTCCTTTGTACATAGGAAGTCACTAGCGATTTCTTTTTGGTTTGTAACTACTCCTAAGTCAGGGTTTTCTCATGAAATGCCCTCTCCCCACTTTTCCTTTAATATTCTAGGGCTGGGTTTCCCAGTTCCTACTTACCGGGCAGCTGCTGCTAGCTGACTCTTGAGGTTGGGAGAAGCAGGATTTGTAGACAGGGCCTTGACAGCCAGAAGAAGTTTGCTTGAAGACAGGGAGATACCCTTCAAGTTGGACACAACCTGGGCCTGATAATCCTGGCTCTGTTGAAGGTCAGAAGGTCAACACATTGTCCAGTCCTTTCTTATCTGTCTCTAACTAAAAGGAATCTTCTTTCCCAGACACTCAAGTACTGCTAGTGACTGGGGAGGGGAGGGAGCCAGGTGAAGGTCAGGACTCGGGCTGCATAGGTGTCTGCTAACTAACCCTTGAAGGGAACATGCCACCAGATCCTCCCTCCTACCTGAGCCTGGCCTGCCATCTCCACACCAGCTTCCAGGAAGGTGTTGAAGTCCTGTCCAAATCGACCCGAGGCTCGAGCCAGGTCCTGAGGGGTTCCCCGAGAGGCCTGTACCAGTTCTGTGGCTGCCTGATTCAGCCCAGCAGCTGCCTCATTCAACCGGCTCTGAGCTTCTTGAAAGGTCCCAGTGCTGGGGGGAAGCTGGAAGGTCAGAAAGCACCATCATAAGGAAGACTGGGGAATGATGAGAGGCAGAGCTGGGTAGACAGGCACAAAGTCGGGGGAGTGATGACAGGAGAGGTGTGCAGTACTTGCGCTCTGCTCCTCCCCCGCCTAAGACCCAGTCCTACCGAGTCACTTAAGAGTCTCTTGCTGGCATCTCCAACTGCTCTCAGGGCATTGTCCACATCTCGTTGTCCGGGCAGACAGCTGACACAGCGGTTCAGTGCCTGGGTCACTGCTTTAGCCACCTGAGGTAGGAAAGGAGAAGGCTTTGTCAAAATGGAGACGCCTCCTCCATGCACAGGCCATGGGTGAGAACTAGCTCTACTGTCTGTGTGTGTGAAAAAAGAAAGGGCGTGGAGTAGCTGAGTAGGTCAAGGTATCAAGTGATGTTGACTTAACTCCAAAGTTGGTATTTAGGCCCAAACTGTAGTCTAACAGAGACATTTTTACTAAGACTGAGAGAAGGGTGAAATTGAGTAAGGAGCTTCCTAGAGCAGACCCCACTGCCAGGGTTGGGGAGACTCAGGTGTTGAGGACATTTTTGCCCCAGTCAGGGTCTTGGGCAAGAAGGAGGGAGATGGCCCCTTCCTAATACCTTACCTGGGCAAGCCGCTGTTGGCTCTCACGGTCCCCTGGATGGCTAGCTGCCTTCTTCGCCTCCTCAATGAGGCTGCTGGCCTTGTCCAGTACATCACTGGCTGTGTCAAGCACCACAGCCTGTACTGCAGGATCTGATGTCAGGGCAGCTACACCCCTTGCAGCTTGGGCCAGTGCCCGCAGCCCACCTGCCACATCCCGAGCTGCGATGCCTGGAGACAGAGGAAGGGAGAGGGCTCACTGTTGCCAGGTCCTGATCCCAGTGGGTTCTTATCAGCCCCAACCCCTGGCCAGCTCCTCCTCCCCCTGTAACCCATTTCTGGCTCTCTGTCCACAGACCTGCATAATTCTCATTGCCCTGGGCCACCTCCCCTAGTAGCTGGGCGATGGCAGAGCTCACGGCTTTGGTGCTATTGTCCAGGTCCTGAGCACATTTCTCCATCTAGGCAGATGAAGGCAGAAAGACTCAGGGGCTCAGACATGGGAGGAGCTGGGGGTAGGGAACTCAAAAAGTTTCGATGAGAGTTTCTGGGAGCTCTGAGGCAAAGCTGGGAAGGAAATCTTCAGGACTTGAGTACAAATGACATCTTGAGAATCCTTACCGTCTCCCCAGGTAAGGGTTTAAGTTTGCCATCTCGAGCTGCTGCTTTCACTTCCTGGAGATCTCTCTCTAGATTCTGGACCACACTCAGTGCTGAATCCATCTCCAGAGGCCCACATGCTTCCTGAGCCTACCAGGAGAAGGCGGCACGTTTATACTGCTGGGTCTCACTGACGATACAGTTATTCCTGCTATAGGTTATTCTGCATGGACTCCCCAGCCTCATCCACCCCCAAACAGAGCTGGATCTCCTACCTTCTGGGCAGCGGTACGGAGTTCCGCCAAGGCAGTGCCAAGGTTCTTGGCGCACTGACTCAGCTGCATGGCAGAAGCCTGGTCCTGAATGGTTGGCACAGAGGCCTTTGCAGCTGCCACCATCTTCCCACCTGGCTGTGGGGGAACAGACTGATTAAGTGTCCAGTTCTCTCTCTGGCTTGGGGAAAATGACAGTGGTTGGGACAGGTTACTTTGTAGGAACTGGGAAAGAGGCTATTGACAGATTGGAATTGTGAGCACTCTAGGGTCTTGGAAGGGTGGGACGGGTCTGGTCTGAGGTAGGCAGAGGGTCCTTGCCTGCAGAAAGCTCTGGCTGGCAGCAATGAGGGCCAGCTGAGCACTGGGACTGTCGGGCTGAGCTTGGCTCCCTCGGACACCTTGCACCAGTAGTGGAATCTGCTCTGCCACCGCCTATAGGTAAAAATGTCATCAGAGCTTTATCTCCAGAGATCGGGAGAAGGTCTTCCTCCCTGACCACCTCCCCTACGCCTCTCAAACCCCGACCCCCTTCCTAGAGCCTCACCTTGCAGCTCTGCACCAGCAGAGGCTGGGGACCAGCAGAAACCTTGGGGGTGGAGGATGCATGCTGGGCTGCAGCAATCGTCTGTGTGGCCGAGGCTGCAGCTTGCTTGGCTGCATGCTATGAGGACAAAGTAGTCAGGACAAGTCCCAGGCCACCCCATTTACAGTCCTTGATCTACCTATCGTACAGTTTCATTCCTCTAATAACAACATCCAATCCCATTTCTGGTTGATTTCTAGCCTTACCTCCAGCCGCTGCATCAGCTTTTTCTTGATGGCATTCTGTGCAGCTGCATTGGTTGCCATGCGCAGGCCCTCAGCAGCCTCCCGCAACCGCTGCTGCTGCTCCTCACTGTCAGGATGGGCAGCTGCCCCCTGAGAGAAGTAGACACACAGTCACCACCCAGCAGCCTTCTGTGATCCCTCTATACTCAGTCTGTTGTCATTAGGTGGCATTGAGTTAGATACAACTCATACAGACCTGATGTACCATGGAACACTGCCAGTCCTGTGGCAGCCCCATAATCGTTACGTTTCCGTCCATCTCACTGAGGGTCTTTTTTAACTGACCCTCTACTTTACTAAGCATGATATCCTTCTCAAGGGACTGGTCCCTCATGATAACTTGTTACAGGTCTATGAGATGAAGTCTCACCATCATCGCTTCTATGGAGCATTCTGGCTGATTTGTTTGTTCCTCTGGCAGTCCATAATATAATCAGTATTCTTTGCCAACACCACACTAAAGGCATCAATTCTTCTGTCTGCCTCATTAAGTGTCTAGATGAGGCGACTGAAAATACTGTGGCTTGGTTCAAGTGCATCTTAGTCTTCAGAATGACATCTTTGCTTTTGAACACTTTAGATTTGGTCAGTGCAAATCTAAATTGTTTGATTTCTTGACTGCTGCTTCCATGGGCACCGATTGTAGATCCAAGTAAAATGTAATTCTTGACAACTTCAGTATTTTCTCCAGTTATCGAAACGCTGCTTATTGATACAATTGTGAGGATTTTTGTTTTCTTTACCTTGAGTTGTAGTACATAATGAAGGATGTAGTCTTTGAACTTCATCACTAAGTGCTTCAAGTCCTCATCACTTTCAGGAAGCAAGGTTGTGTCATCTGCATATTATAGGTTGATAATAAGTCTACCTCCAAACCTGATGCTGTATTTTTCTTCAGAGTCCAGCTTCCTTGGATTATTTGCTCAGCATATAGATTGAATAAGTATGGTGAAAGAATACAACCCTGACGCACACCTTTCCTGATTTGAAACCACTGCAGTATCCCCTTATTCTGTTCGAACCACCGCCTCTGTGCTTTGTGTACAGGTTCTACATGAGCACAATGCAGTATTCTGGAATTTCCACTCTTTGCAGTGTTACGCATAGTTTGTTGTGAAGCACACGGTTGAATGCCTTTGCACAGTCAATAAAACACAGGTAAACATCTTTCTGGTATTTTCTGCTTTCAACTAAGATCCATCTTACATCAGCAATGATATCCTTTGTTCCACATCCTCTTCTGAATGTAGCTTGAATTTCTGGTAGTTCCTTGTAGTGTAATGCTGCAACTGTTTTTGAATTATCTTCAGCAGAAATTTACTTGCATGTGATATTAATGATGTTGTTCAACAGTTTCTTCATTCTGTTGAATCATCTATCTTTGGAATAGGCACAAATCTCTTCTAGTCAGTTGGCCTGTAGGTGTCTCCCAAACTTCTTAGCATAGATGTATGAGCCTCCAGTGTTGCATGGGTTTGCTGAAACATCTCAACCAGCACTCCAGCAATTCCTGGAGCTGTATATACCAACTACTAGTCCTTCTTGTCCTGGTGTGGTGCTGTAGGGTAAGCACTGGACCACAAGGTCAGTTTGAGCCACAGGATTCGCAATTCAGACCTACCAGCCACTCCTCAGAAAGCCTATACAGTGTCGCTATGAATCAGAACCAACTCAATGGCACTTAACAATCCTTCTTGCTTATTTCCCAGTTTCATAATCTAGTCATTGTGATTGAATGTTTCATTAATTTCAGACTGCAGAATTTAGTAAAAACTTCAATTTCTTCATCTTTGGCATTGGTAGTTGGTATGTAAATTTGAGTAATAGTCATTTTAATTGGTTAAATTAAATAGGCATATGGATATTACTGTAATGCTGACAGCATTGTATTTCAGGAATAGATCTTGAAATGTTCTTTGTGATGATGGGTGAGACCTTGTTCCTCTTTAACCTTTCATTCCCAGCACAGTAGATCATATGATTGTCTGATTCAAAATGGCCAGGACAAGTCCATTCCAGCTCACTAATGCCTAGGAAATCTTTCAGTATAGAAGTTCCCTTATTTCTGAAGTCTTTCTAAGTGTCTCCACTGAAAGGCTTTAGGTGGAACTGTTTCTTCTCCTCCTGTTTGGGGAAGGAGTCATCCTTTTTGATTCCCAAAATACCATAAGTAAATGGGAGTGAGTAGGAATCCCTGGGGAGAAAGGAAGCTTGGTTCTGAGCAGAGGTCTCAGGAATACTAAAGTAGTGGGCTTGGCTACACCTGCAGATGAACACTTTAAGCTTAGGGAATCTTGGAATTTTTTGGACTTCCTTCTCTGCATCTTTGGGTCTCTGTGTAACACTGCTGGCAGGTGGTGGCAGAAGAATAGGAAAAAGTGGGGACAGCAAAACTTGGACTGAGATGAAGAAAGGGGATTATAGTTGCCAAAACTTGTATTTTGGAGACCAGAAAGGATGATCCCCTTCCCCAAGCAGAAGAAGACACAGTTTCACCTAAAGAAAGAATCTCAACATCACAGAGGGAATTCTTTCAGTAGAGGCACTCAGAAATACTTAGAAGTCTCAGAAAATGTCAAAGAGTGGTCTGGGAAGCCTGGGCCCCACCATCCGCTAGTGGCCTTAGAGTTCATTTACAAATATGGTGTCACTATATTCGTTCTCCTGTTTTTTTCTGCTATTCCTGGGTCTCCCTCATCAGATGAGGGTGACACCTATGATCCTACTTCCAGCCTGGGGACATGTACCTTGGCAGCCTCCACCATCTTGGCTGTGGCATCAGCCAGGATCTTGGCAGCACTTAATAGCTTGCGTGAGTTTTCCAGGTCACTTTCTCCCTCAGCATCAGCCTTGATGGCGTTGACCAGGTCTGAAGTGGCTTGAGCTAGGATGCGGGCCTGTCGTACCATCTCACCTAGGAGGATAGGACAAAGTCATGTGAGAAAGCCAGAGAAACTAAGGGACTATCAGGGGTGGGGACAAGGATTGGGAAAAGTGGTCTCGCCAGGTAGAGGGAGCTTTTGGGGGAAATCACGAAACGGACACAAGTTCTTGAAGTGATTTCTTTGTGGTTATTTTTACTGGGCTTACGGTCTTGGAGAACAGCTTTCCCAGTGGGCTTTTATGGCAGGAAGGATAATCTCCACTGGTACTTTCAGCAAAGGGTCTTACGAGAATGAACCTTTCTTTGTGAAGGTTTTTGGGGGTGCAGCGCTGAAGTGGTATGAGAAAAGGCTTACCCTTAATTCCACTTCTCATAGCTTTTTAAAGGTATACTGTGGTATAGCCTTCAAACTTTCTAGGGCAGGCAGAACATTGATGATGTTGACAGATGGGGAAGAGGAAGCTTCAGAGAGACTGAGCAATTAGGCTAAGGTTACATTGGGCTGGCTTCTCAGGGATGAAGTGGTTGGGTATGCAGGAAGGGTCTAAGGCGTTTGGGGAACCACCTGGGTTCTGAATCTTTGTTTGTAGTGGGGAAGGGGGCTCCTTACCAGCATCACCCATGGAGCTGAAGATGTTCTCGGTGACAGTAAGGATGGTATCAGTGGCCTGGTCATAGCGACCAGCAGGCCCAGCCCCTGTGGCGTGGGCTCTCACATGTTGCAGCAGCTCATTCAGGGCCTGGGTCACAGCTGTGGCTGCTGCTCCTACCCCTCGCAACAGCTGCCCATCATCTGTGGCTGCCTGGGAGGCAGACACACACCCCTCCACAGCTTTGGCCACCAGTCGCCCAGCCTCTACCAGCTGCTCTTGACAAACAGGTGAGCTGATTGTAGGTGCCACCACCTGTGTACAAAAAATATGTGAAAGAGGTACGCAAGGGGAAGCTATCACAAGTAGGCTCCTTGGGGTGTTCACAAGCCACTGGGAGGGAGAATGAGACATGGAGAACCGAAGGCTCTAGTGGCACTACTGCCCCCGGGCACAGGCTCACCTTGGTACAGGCCACCAGCTGGGAGGTGGACAGGGCACACTGTGTGGCTGCAGCAATGACCTGGGTCTGAAGCCCTGCATCCTCTGTCCGCTGGGCCACGCTCTTGGCCTTGAGGACCAGGGCAGCTGCAGCACTTGCCACTGCCTTGGCTAGCTGCATGAGCATGTCCTGTGAGGAAGTGGCAGTTAGCAGGGGCTGGATTCAGGCTGGGGATCCATGGCCCCTCCTCAGAGGCAGAAGCTGTTTCATTATTCCCATTGACTCCAATCACAGGACAGCAAAGGCAGGAGCACCAGAACCTACCCCAAGCCCCTGCCTGGAGCCCCCAGCAGAACAGAACCCCCACCAAGGAACAAACCCACACCAAGAGAAATAGAGCCTACACCAAGGAAGATAATGCGTGAGGCGGATACACTCGGCTGTGATGGGGGTGGGGAAGGGAGCGGGGAATGGACAGTGCTGTCACAATGGGACAGGGATCCAGGAGTGTATTGGGGTCCCTTCCACCCCCAGCTTCTTTGCAGCTCAATCCTACAGTCCTGGGAATATCTGCCCTGATCCCGTTTCTCCAAGTCCTGCCCAGTTCATGCCTCCCGTCTCTCATCGTGTTCTGCCCTCCCAGGGGGCTGGGGGGGAGGTGCAGAAACGAGTGTATGCGGCTCAGAGAGGACAAAGCTGGGAAGGCCCAGGCCAGAGGCCGTTACCGTGGGGGGGTCGGGGGTAGATCGAACCCCAGACCCTCTGGGTGCATATATCTGTATGGAAAATCCAGGATGAAAAGTCAGCTGAGGAAATTGGCAAGGGGTAGGGCAGGGGGCAACCTAGAGGACCAGTGTCCTCAGGGGGTGTGTTCTGAAGGATTGGAGGCGGGTTCCTGAAGTTCTCCAGTTGGGAAAAGGGATGTGTATGGAAGATGGAGCAAGATGAAAAGGGACTACAAAAAAAATCACCAATAAAAGTCAAAAGTAAGTTAGTAGACTGAAATTCAGATTCAGGGATTCTGAATTCTCAAACCCCCAAAATGATTGGAGATTCCCAGTGTCATCACCCTCTGAATAAAGAGGCTCAGGTTGGTTATGGGGGGTCAATTCAGAGAGGCAGGGAACAGGAAATGGATTCAGAGGTTCCCCTAGAAGCTGGGGCTTGGTCACCAACCTGAAAGTGGGGGTCAGTATCACTTTCCCCAATTTGCTGCAACAGCTCCCCACTGGCCTGGCCCACGTTCCCAGCTGCTTGCAGCAGGTTCTGACGGGGCTGTGGAGAGTGAACACCAGTCAGAAGCTGCCTTATCCCTTCTCATGTGCCCCTGGGGCCCATACTTCCTCCCAGCAACTTGGTCATGTCCCCTTCTCTGTGGGCTCCAACCCTCTCTGCACACCAGCCCTGCTCCGCGGCCCCTGACCTCGGCGCTGGCTGGCTGAGCACTGCGCAGCAGTTCTGACACGGCCCCCGCCAGGCCTTTGGCTGCCTGCAGCAGGGGCCGGCCGCTGCCGCCCTCATCCTCCAGCAGGGCAGCTAACAGCTTCACCCCACGAGACATCTCCGTCAGGTTGGAGGAGATTGTGGTCACTGCACAGCCCACTGCAGTGTAGTCCGTTTCTGCAGGGTCTCCTAGGGGGAGAAGAAGGAAGAGGAGCAGGTGCAGAAGGAGCCCGGCCACAGCCAGTCACACACAGCATGAGGCACATAGCCCCTCCCCTGCCCTCCACCTCCCACACAGGTTGGCATCCAGCCTACCTGCTGTCAGGTTCACCACGGAGGCAGTACCGGCTGTGATGGCATCTACCTGGGAGTGGATCTCATGCTTGGATTCATCCATCTTGTTCTTACGCCAGGCCTTTGAAGCCTGAAAGAGGAAAATCTCAGATCCATTCAGCTCTTTGGAGCTCTGGTAGCGTAGTGGTTACTAATCGGGCTGTGAACCGCAAGGTCAGCAGTTCTAAACTACCAGCTGTTCCGCGGGAGAAAGAGGAGGCTTTCTGCTCCTGTAAAGATTTGCAACCTCGGAAACCCTGTACAGCGTCGCTATGAGTTGGAACCGACTCCACAGCACATAACCACCACCACCAACCCTAGCTCTTGAAGTCCCACCTTCAGTGCCACTGCTCTGTCCTCTAGCCCATACTCACAGCATCCTGGCCAAGAGGGGGCAGAGTGTCAAAGTCATCCAAAGTGGCCTGGGCAGCCTGTACCGCTTGCATGCTGGAGTTGATGGTTCCGGTGAGTGCCTGCTGAGCTGAAGTCTGAAAGACAAAGGGAGGTGTGACAGGGACTGCCGGAGAGAAAACCAGGCTAGGAAGGACATGGGAAGAGACTGCCCTGCTGAGGGTGGGAAAGAGGTCTTAGTGGAAGTGGGGGTGCACTTACCAAAGGAGGCATGTGTCCTCGGTGCATCTGGCCACTGGTAATCTGCTGCTGGGCAGATGGCATGGTGCCCACCTGGAAATTCTCAGGACCCGAGGCTCCAGAGCGCATGATGGCTGGTAGGGCCACAGAGCCATGTTCTACTTTCCCCACACGATTATACTGTTGCTGAAGGACCGTTGACCTAGAGAAGGGCAGCTTATAGAATACCTGTCTCCTCTCTACCACTTCCCACCCAGGTATGCTACCTCTGCAGGTCCTGTGATCTGGGAGTGTGTGAGGTCTCACTATGGACTATGACTCCAAGGAATTCCCACCACCCCCAACCAACCTTGGAGTCAAGCTTTGACTCCCCAATCCCCCCACCCCCGCCCAGGGGCAATGGGGTCAGCCTAGTGCCCTTCATACTTTTTGGGGGACACAGAGTCCTCCAGCATAGTAGACTCCTCATCTCCCTCCATCCCAAAGTGGTCCTTGCTTTTTTTCTGTAGGAAGAAATAAGGAAGAAGAGTTGGGGGCAGTTAATGAGGGGGATGTGGGGAAAGGCTGAATATTCTTTCCCTAAGCAGCCGTTTTTCAGAACCTCAGTCCCTATTTCTAAAGGACTGACTTGAGAAGAGAGTAAGAAATTAGGACATGGCTGGGCAGGCGGTCCCCACCTTCTTCAGGATGATATCGATGTAGCCAGCAATGAGTTGTGCAATTTGTTCCCCTTCAGTTGTCTGTACTGAGTAGTACCCATCTTGGTAGTCCCCGAAATCCTACGGTGACAAGGCAGAAGCTCAGTGGGAAAACACGTATCTATTACAGAAAAACAATAGGATGGGAGCTGATGAAGGTGCCTTCCCATGGCTACCATCCCTCAAGGAAGAAGTCCACCTTCCTTCAATCTCCTATTTTGTTACTTTCCTCTTCCTTGGAGGGAAAGATCTGATTTCTGAGGAATAGTCATTATGCTACATATTTCCAAATACATGTCATTTAGGAAATCCCTTTTCTCTTTATCCTGGTAACAAAATTGGGAGGACATAAACATTTGTCATTAAGTGACCATACTCAAAAGTTAGCACCAGCAACCAAACTGGAAACTTTTTTAATTTCTATTTCTCTCATAGGGGTATTTTATCAAGTTGGAGTCTGTTTTCAATTCATTACCACTAACATATGATCTGAAGAGAAACTTACATAGTTGCTACCGAAAGAGACAAGGCTTGGTTTTTCTTCTATTACCTTTCTCTTAGCACCCCCGCCCCCAAGTATTTCTATGATCTCAGTTTGCTGTCTACATTTTTGTTTATGTGGACTGTGAAAAAATAAGCTCCTCACCTGTTTCTTTTATGTATTACTCCACAGGAGAAGGGAGTCTCTCCCTCTACTCTAAGCTCAGGTTCCTGCAGCAGTTTCGTAATTCTCCTTTTTTCTACATTGACATTCGGTGTACCTACCTCAAGGGAGGGGGAAAAGACCACTTCTGCTGCTCACTGCCTAAAAATTCCAAAATCCTTTCTCCTTTGAGCTCTAAGACTTACCAGGGTGAAGCTCTTGGGTGAGGCAGCCCAGCGTTTGATGTTGGTGAGATTCCATTCCTGGATCACCTCCTTGGTCTTCTCATCTACCCGCATCACACACTCCTTTGTGATGCCCAGAAGCCTGGGCACTAGCTTGTTCTTTCCTTTCATTTTTTCCTATAGGCAGAAACGGTTGTTGGTGTTATAGGTCAGAGGCAGAATGAGAGGTAACTGATCAGCTAGACCATAAGGGAGAGTTGAGGTGGCCAGGAGAGCTAAACCATAGTGTCTATGGTTCCACCCAGGCCAAGGCTGTGTGAGGGAAAAGGGAAAGAAACTGTAGGACAGGGATGAAAGTGGTGGTGGCGGACTGACGGTGGGACAGGTTTCCGTAAGGTCAAGAAGGGGACTCTGGGAATGATATGTGACTGACAGCAGGATCAGAAATTTTCAGAGAATAAGGAAAGGGTAAGAGCAGGAAACAAAGAGGGCAGTTGAGTTGGGTTCATACCCACCTTAACCAGGAAGAAGGAGACACCGTATGTCTTGAGAGAACGAGCTAGCTTCACATAGCGCACCTTGGCCTCAATCTCACTCATCTGTCCACAATTCTTGTGTGCCTGTGAGTATGGGATGAGGAGAGACTATCACAGATAAGGCGTTCTGCACGTTTGTTAACTCTAATGGGACACAGCATTAGGGAGTGCAGGATATGAGAAGTGAGAGGGGGATGTGATGGGGCTGACAAAGGAGATGCAGAAGCCGTGGGGTCCGAGGAGAAGGCTAAGGAACTTGCAGTCTTTCTGAGACATGAGTGAATCGTTAGGAAGTAGGGCAAACAGGAGGCAAAGAGGAGGGATGACACCCTGCATTTGTACAAAGACTACAGTCTTCACAGTAATTTCCTGTGTACCATCTCATTTGATTCTCTTATCGACCCTATGCAGGGCAGGTAGTGTTATCCCATAATAAAGGTAAAGAAAACAAGAATACTGAATTAAATTCTACAGTAAAGCAATGAGGGAGCTGAGACGAAAAGCCCATCCATCTCCTGTGTCCTCAGCATAGGAGATGTGGGAGAACAGCTCGGCGGGTAGCAGGTGGGGGAGCAGTGGGGAGAAGGTGGAGGTTTGTTTCATCAGTAGGATTAAGCAGCAAAGCTCTTGGGTAATCCCAAACAGTTTGCCCTACCCCCCATTCACCTGGAAGATCTTACGCTCTCCCTTCTGCTTCACATACTCCTTGGGCAGGAAGTCCTTCAGGCTACACCAGAAAAGGGAGGGTCAGAATGTAGTGGACAGTATCAAGGGATAATGTGAGCCATGAACTGTGGGCCTAGGGGTGTGAGGAAATGTCTAGGGCAGTCTTAACTCTGGGGAGAGGAAAAGACTCTGAGGGAATAAAGCCTGGATTGTCCTCTGAAATAGAGATGACTTTGCATTAGCTCTTGAATGCAGCATGTGTCTTTCCCTTCATGGACTGAGGAAACTTAAGTTGGAAGCTCAGTCCCTGAGGGAAAGAGGACTAAGAGCTCCATTTGAGGGGACTAAGAGAAAGCTAACTAGAAGGATGACCATATATGTTCAGAAAGCTGAGAAAGTCACATCAAACTCTATACATTCCAATGAAAACCAGTGTATACAACTTGTGAGACTTAAAATCTGATGTCCCTTACGATGAAAAGTTTACTCGTTTCCCTCTGGCTACTGTAGAATCTTCAGAGAATCTCAAAAAGTTTTGTGTTTGTCTAGGGGGTGGGGGAGGGGGTAGATTTTGGCCCACATTCATATTCCACATGGGGCCAGTGAGGACAAGAATGGGTGGTAGCAGTTAAAATGGTATCCAACTAGGTCAATCCTTGGTATCTCAGAACAGGAAACGGGAGGAAGGCCTGAGATGGAAAAGGGTCACAATGGTAAGGAGTCCTGGGCCCTGACAGGGTTGTGGATGTGAGACACTCACTCAAGGAAGCCAGCCTTGTGCTTCTGTTCATTGTGGGGCCCAAACTGGATCTGACATTGGAAGCCAGCAAACTCACAGGCCTTGTCGAAGGAGACAGGGTGGGAGCCATTCAGGATGTCATCTCGTGCCTGGAGAGCCCGGGAAAAGGAGACAAATGATGTATGTGGGTGCTTCTGCCTCCCCGCTTCTCCCTCCTGCCCCAGCCAAATGTTTGCCATACCTGCACATAGAGAAGGTTGAGTTGGACAGGATCTCGGGAATCCACATTCTGGTCCGAGTAGAAGAACTTCCTCCGTAGCAGGAGGGTTTCATGCTCCTCCACTCCTTGTTCCCTCAGGGTCCGGCCATGGTCCAGCCAGTTCACTGGGACACAGAGAGTCCCTCAATGCCAAGTCCCATAACTTCTGGCTGTCCAGTCTCTGGCTTTTTGTTAATTTCTTCACTGCCTACCTTTGCTCACTTAGACGTTACATTCTGAGTACAGGAACTTTGTTTTATTTACTGATACATCCCCAGTGTCTAAAAGAGTGCCTCACACAAAGCAATGTTCAATAAATAATGAATAAATAGTTGCTCCCTACTCTGTTTCTAGGTCCCCTTTTTTTAGCTCCCATCTGCTTACGCTCATCATCAGTGTGCAATTTCTGCTTTAATTTCTCCATCTTCTTTTCATCTCGCAGCAGTGTCTTATCTTTTCGTAAGGTCCCTGTTACCTCCTCCTTTTTCTCTTCCATCAACTCTCGGACCAGTGAGTATTCATCATGATTGGTGATGCCTGGGAAGAGGAATAGTAAGGTAGCATCCAGGCATGACATCCGTGGGCAGGCCCTCCCCTAGAGCCCTTACCAATGCGGGCACAGATGGTCATGAGCATGTCGGTGACGGTCTTAGAGTCATCCACCATGATGGTCTTCACAGTGCCATCAAGCATACGTATCTTCAGGGGTCTCTGTTTTTTCCTGTACTCCATGGTGTCCTGTAAGGGCAGGAAAAGGAGGTAGGGACCCTGTTAGGCTAGGGGTATTACTTCTGTTTTACAGGGTCATAGAGGAGGAAAGCAGAGTACTGAAAGGAAGGTTAGGGTTGTTCATTTGAAAGTATGAGAGCGTGTAAAAGACAAAAAGCTTGGGGAGGGGCCAGAGACACAGATATGGGTGCTGAAAAAGTGGTGGGACAGAAGAAAGTTGATGAAGAGGATGTTGTTGATCCTTGATGAAGTACTAATACTTACTCCATTTCGAAGCATGTAGTAATCCAAAGCTTTCCCGGCCTCCAGCCATATACCCTTTTTAGGATCATCATCTGACAGAAATAGCCCAAAGTCGCTGGCTAGAAGAGAAGATGGGTTACCTCAGACTCATTAAGACCCAGTGTGGCTGAATGGCTGGCTGCACTGCCCCTCACTGTTTCTCTTGTGACCCTGGGTCTAAAGGGAAGGGAGGGAACCATGGAGCATAGCATAAACCTAAGGGGAGACTAGACTTGGGGAACAATAAGGTTACTCCTCAGGTCAAGAGCCTGAAAACAAGGAGAGATTGAAGAGGACTCCCACCCTAGCCAGTGGGCAGTCAGACTCACGAGGGCCAGCCAGGGCCTCTGGGATACGCTCCCGGATCATGCGGCAGGCGTCGTATACCATGGTGGATGGCTCAAACTGCATCGTCTTCACCACATTTCCAATGCTGATCTTCAGCGAAAGTGCAACCATGATGGCAACCTGGCATCAGGGCAGCAGAACACATCCTCATAGGAGAAGAAGAGGCTCCAGATGGAGTCTCAGGGAGGGATGGTGTTGAATGGGACTTACCAAAGTAGACAGCAATGAGGTGGTTGTTTTATTTAATAATCTTAGAAGTTTGACAATTTACATCAAATGAACCAGTCAAAACCTTCTAAGACATCTGAGGGAGAGGCAGGTCTTTGTTATTGTTGTTGTTAGCGCCATCGAGCCAGTTCTGACTACAGTGGCCATGCTTAGGGTTTCCAAGGAGCAGCTAGCTGGTGGGTTTGAACCACTGACTTTGTGGTTAGCAGTACAGTGTTTATCCTACAGTGCCACACCAGTACTCCAATCAATCAGCTGCAGTGGAGTCAATTTCGACTCATAGCAACCCTATAGGACAGAATAGATTGCCCATCGGGTTTCCTAGGTTATAAATTTTTATGGAAGTAGACTGCCACACCTTTCTTCCGTGGTTTCGAACCGTCAACTTTTCAGTTAGCAGTCAAGCACTTTAACCATCATACTACCAGGGCTCTGTGAAGGCCCAGTGAAACCAAACTAAACCCACTGCCATTGAGCGGATTCCCACCCTTAGCGACTCTGTATCCATCCAGTAGGTTTGAAATGCAAGGATTTCTGAGGACCCTGCCCTACCACTGGAATTTGTGCCTCCCTCTCTTGTCCCTTCACCTCCCTTCCCAGCCCTGCCCTCTGCCTTGTTTTCGTCTGTTTCTCTCCTTGTTTCCCACTGTGCCCTGCTAGTTTTCCCTATCTGGGATTGTCAGAGCTCCAGCCTGACTCATGTGACCTTTTCTCTCACCTATTAGGCTCCTTTCTCTGCAAAATGACTGTGATATACCAGAGAATCCCCAAGGGCTCTTGAAGCCTGCAAACGTTGACTTGCGCAGGTCTGACTGGGAAACCAATTACTGGTGGTTCAGTCATTGACCTAATCTCGTTCCAGAGCTGCTCTCGAATCTGAGATGTGGAGAGCCTCCCTGAGGAGTTTGGTCCTGTTTGGCTTCCCTGACCATCAGGCTAAAACTGTGATTGGCCATTCCAGAGGGCTCTCAGCAATTACCTAGTCAACTCTTTCAATTTTGCTGAGGAAGAAACATCCTAGGAGGAAAAACTTCAAGGCAGGTCAGAGAAAGAGCCTAGCTCTTCCAACTCAGTCCCTGCCACTCCCCAGTCACCAAGTTAATACTCAGCTCTCACTGAAACTCTTATGCTTTCTCTTACAGCAAGTCCTTCTCAATCTCTGTTCTCCATCTCAGCTGCCGCCTCTGACAGTACCGTCAGGGCAGTCCTTCCTGGAGCCTCTAGAGGTAGCAGGGGGCACCCAGGAGGTAAGAGGACAACTCTGCCTAGTATCTGATGATGTGACCCAGTTCAGTACCGGGATTGGCTGCTTCTTAACTAAGAGAATGAGCAAAGCCAGGCTCTCCACTCCCTGTGGGGGCAAACTGCCAGCCCCACGGGAGAAAAAGTAGAACTAGGGGAAGGAAAAGAGCCCTGGGTGCTGCAGTGGTTAAGTGCTCAGCTGCTAACTGATTTGAACCCACCAGCTGCTCCGTGGAAGGAAGACATGCAGTCTGCTTCTGTAAAGTGTACTGTCTGGAAAACCGTATGAGACAGTTCTGCTCTGCCTGTGAGGGTTGTGATGAGTCGGAATGGACTCGCTATGAGTCAGAATGATCTCAATATGAGTCAGAATTGACTCGATGGCAATGGGTTTTGAGGGCAAAGGCAGGCAAGCAGAGGTGAATGTTAGGGTAGAGCGTGCAGCTGAGAAGCAGGGAACTTAAAAGGGGTGGAGAGGCTCAGAGGAGTCAGGAGGTGTGTCTATGAAATCCAGGTAAAAGAAGGCAGGGCCGGATCAGAAGTCTAGTGTCCTGGGGCTGCTAGGCCATTTCTGACCTTATAAATAGTTCAGAATCGCCGAAGAAACCACAGCCCACTCTTGATCGTCACTCTCAAAGAAGAAAGGACCCTCCCAGTCTCCCCAGTTCCAGCTCTCTGCTTCCCTTCCCATTCCTGGAGTACCTCTACCAGTAGCTGAACAGACCTGGCAGTGGGGTCGCTGACCACAAAATAGTGAGGGCTGGCGGGTCAGAGAAGCTGGAGGAGCCAGAGGAGCTGAGGGCAGGACTGAAAGGCCCCTTCACCCTAAGCTGAAAGTACATGTCTCCCCCCATTTCCTCCGGACATACGGACACCCCCTTCTTCCTTAAGCACGGAACCTCTGGTGAGACCCCGATAAGGGACTTGAGTCATGCCGACTCTTGCTCCCAGGCTGGTTCTGTGTGGACTCCACACCACAGAAACCCACAGGGAAGGGGAGGAGTAGGAACTGAACAGTGCATTGAGGGAGGAGATGGCAGGGAACAGTGTGCCTGGAAGTGTGGGGAAAAGCTAGAGTGTTCCTTCTCTGGTCTGACAACATTGCTCCCCTTTCCATGATTTTTTATGGAATAGCAACATCAGCTCCCACCCCCCTGGGTCCCCTTCCCAAGGAACTCCTCCTCCCTTCAAGACATTCCTGAGATGCATTCCAGAGGAGTTGGGCAATGGGGGTGGGGGGAGGTGTGTGATGGAGGACAGGAGGTCAAATCCCAGCAAAGAATGGAATTTAAGTGCATTGGGGGGAAGGAATTTTAGGGTACATGGAGAACCCAGAGCAGAAACCCACAAAGGATGCTGCAGGAAGAGAGTCACAGAAGGACAAAGGGAGAGAAAAACCTGAAGACCGAGTGTGAGAGCTGAGAGCGTTGGGGAGTAATACTCAATCTGTTACCAAATTTGGCCTCTGAGTCCACAACCAAGGGGGGAGGGTTGTGGGTGAGACTGACATATCCGGCCTCAGGCTTCTGGAAGCTGGCTTAGGGCTGGACCTGACCTCCCCTGACACAGCCTTCATCCTCCTCAAAGTCACCCAGCCTTGCACAGAACTGCTTCCCACCAAGCTACCTACTTGGTATCTCTTTACATACTTGCTATCTCAATCACAGTCTCACACATAGCCCGTTTACAGCCACTTTATCTGCCCAGGGGCCCAGTCCATGCACACAGCGTGCCCACAAATATACCACCATCGTCAGCACACAGCCCCCCACCCCCATCTCTCCTTCCAGGAGGTATGTATCCCCCTTCATTCACCAGGCAAGCATTCTGTGAAGGCCTGTTGTGGGGAAGGTCCTGGGCCCCGGTTTCAGTGTCTGGGAACTAAGATGAGTAAGACATAGCCTTTGCCCTCAAGAGGAGAAAAGTGATCAGCCAAGAACAGAATTACAATAACGAGCAGGATGCATTAAGAGCCAGGGGGGTTGTGCAGAGAGAAGAGCTCAATAGGTTAGAGAAGAGGAACCAAAAGCCTCTGGGAAAGGTTCCATCTGAAGTTTTTTTGTTCTTTTTTTGTGTGTGTTTTTAAATAAGGATAATAAAAAGTAGTAATGGTCTCTCATTTATTGGCAAGGTGTGAACTGCTTTGTGTACATCATTTCATTGAAAACCTTACAACAACCCTGCAAGGTAGGTGCCATTATCTTCTTTTTACAGACTAGGAAACTGAGGCTCAAGAAGTATTTGTTCAACAAGTACTTGTCCAAAGTTCCACAGCTAACAAGTTGTAGAGCCAGGATCTGAACTCAGGTCTCTCTGACTCCAAGGCCCCAGCTCTCTCCACTAGGTCAGCCGGAGATGAGTCAGGGGTACCATTCCAGGCAGAAAATAGCATAAGGAAAGGTGGAGAAGCATTCAGGGAAGTGAGCAGGCAGGCTGGTTGAAGCACAGGTACCTGCAAGGGAGCAGTGGTTGGGGGTTAGGGTTAGGATGGGAAGGCAGGGAGGATGAAGAGGAGCATGAGGTATTTTATCTACTGGAGGGCAGCAGGAGCCCAGGGAGGCTTTTGAGCAGAGAAGGGACATGCCCAGCACTAGATTTTAATGATCTAAGAGACTGGTTAGAAGGACATTGTATTAGCCCAAGTGAGAGCTTGAAACTAAAGTTAGAAGGTGGTGAGGATATCACTCAGAAGAAATGCTAAAAGGTGGAACTGATAGGACCTTGACAAGCCTGCCCTATCAACCCTCAGAGAATGGGGCCTAAAGTCAGGCTGGGTTCTCTCATAGCTTTCTTTAGGGGCTGGAGCTGCAGCAATAACTTGACTTTAAGACTTTAGGTAAGCTGATCAGGAATGTGAGAATGAGGCTGTGGGGAAAGGGTTTTGATAAGTATGTGGTTAGGAGCCAGGTAGGGGTGGATGGGGTGTGGTCAGTGACTGCAGCAGGCTGGGCCTGGGGAAGACAGTGGTAATGATGGTGGTAAGAAAAATGAGCATATGATCATTGACTGGATCAGGCAAGAGGAAGGAGAGAAATTAATATGTGTACAATGGCTAAATCAGATTCAGAGGCCAAATCAGGCTACAGGGGGTGAAGAGGTGACTAAATTAAGTGGTGCTGTGGGAGGCAAGGGGGCATTGGCGATGACTAAGTAAAGCTGGAGTTGGGGGAATGATGGGATGCAGCCAGTGGCTGGGTCAGCTGGGTACGTGATAGGGCTGTGGTCAGTGGCCGGGTCAGGCTGGGAGTGAAATGGGGGTGTGGTCAGTGGTCCAGTCAGCTGGGTACGTGATAGGGCTGTGGTCAGTGGCCGGGTCAGGCTGGGAGTGCAATGGGGGTGTGGTCAGTGGTCTGGCTGGGCGTGGGATCAGCAAGACCCAGTTTCCTCTTTGGGTCTCATTTCCTCTTTTCTGTTTGGGGAGTGGGGGAAGGGGATCTGCGATTGGATCAAGAATGTAAAGGAGGTTTAGAATTGGGGGATGGCACACAGCAGAAACTGGTGTACATGGCATTTGGATTGGGTTGGAGTCTGCTTAAGTGACCAGATGAGTGGGTGAGTGGGTGAAAATGGTGGGAGAGTGTTTTAAGATGCTGGGTTTGGGTGAGGGTAAATTAAGGTAGGATGTGTGAATCAAGTGGAGAGGGGTTGGCAGAACTGAGGTTGGAAACAGATGGTAAGAAGATGAAGAATGTGGAAGACTTATAGGCAAGGGAAGTGTTCTGTAAGGGGGTATACAGGAAGGGTGTGAACTGCAGGGATGAGAGCTAGGGAATGAGGGGGCAGTGGGGGTTGACTTTCAGAGGACTAAGCCATCCCCTTCTCCCAGGACAACAGTGTTTCCTTGCTCAGCTTCCCCCTCTCCCTTAGGCAGTTCACTAGTTGAGACTAGGTATTGTGCTTCTCCTGGGCCCCTAACCCTTTCTTGTCTCCTACCTTGTAAACAACATAATCCAGGAACCCTGGTCCCTCAACTGTGCTGGCCACAGAAAAAGCCTTAGCTTTAGCAAATGGACCAGACTCCTGTGCTTCCAATCCAGTTTGTCATTTTCCAAAGAAGCCCCTGCAACTGACTCCCAAGGAATGAGAAGTCTCTTCAAAACAAGAGCATCTAACTACTGACAGCCTCTTACATTTCCCAAGTCGTAGGTCAACACCATAACCACTAAAGCTGCTCCTAATTTCTAACATTAACCCTGACCCTAACAGCAAAGAACCACATCCAATGCCTGCTCCCAAATACTAATACGATTTTACATTTAACACCATACCCCCTGACCCTAACAGCTTAAACCTAAGATTCTTTTATATCTTGATTTCTGACCCCCCCTCCCCCACTACTTATCCCTTATAATGGCCTTACCAAAGTTCGTAATCCCAAAAAACGGATTTCTACTCCAATTCCTATTGACCTGACCCTGAACTCTGCTTTTGGTTGTCCATCCCAGAAAACCAAATGACCTTAATCTAAACCTTAGGTACAAAATGGGTCTGACTTTCACTAACTTTAAGGAGCTCTGGTAGCGTAGTGGTTACGAACTGGCTGCTAATCTCCCTGTCAGCAGTTCGAAACTACCAGCTGTTCCGCGAGAGAAAAATGAGGTTTTCTGCTCCCGTAAAGATTTACAGCCCCGAACCCGGTACTGGGTAGGTATGAGTCGGAACCGACTCCAAGGTTACACTTAACCTTCCCTAAAACCCATCCCAGCAGCGGGCTGCCTCCCAGGAAAGGCCTGGCTTCCGCAAAACGGCCTACTTAGTTCTGATACCAAGCTGAGATACCTTGGACCCTGACCTCTCCAACCGGACCCGAAACAGGAGCTACAGGGGCCCCGCCCGCCCTCCCGGGCCGGGCCTCGCGGCCCCACCCCAAAACTCCAGCTCGGCCCGGTTCAGCCTACCTGAGCTGCCCGGCTCTGCGCCCCGCCCGCCGGCCCGCTAGCCCGCTTGTTCTCCCGGTCGCTCTGGGGCTCTGGCCTCGCCCTCCCGCCGACAGACTCTCTCGTCCACTTCCGTCCCTGCAACGTCCCCCACCCGCGGGCGGCGCCCTGGGCCCGCGCTCTATGGTTGCAGGGTCTGCAGGAAGCTACTCTGGTCTCAGTTCTCGATGCTCTGGAGCTGGTTGAAGACTGGCAGCCCCTCCCCGGCAGGAAACACGGGTGTGTGCAATCCGGAGAAAACGCCTGAACTGCTCCCAAGTTCCCTTTTAGTCTCGAATCCTTCCTTTTCTTGTTCTAGGCGAAGGTGGAGCTGGAGCTCCAGAATTCCCGCCTTCAGGGTGTGCGGAGGATGAATGGACGTCCCACAATTTACATAGCCTCCGGGACGTGGCGTAGCACACAGGCCACTTCCGAGTTGGAGGGAACTCCATGTCCCAGAATGCCGTGGTGGCGAGGTGCCTTACTTCCGTTGTGTTGGAAGTTGCTGAGAATCGAGTCTGAAAGGCGGGTCTACTAGAGAGTGAGGGATAGCCTCTCCCGGGAGAGTCCGACCGAAGAGGGACCAGGGCATAGATTGTTGCTGTTAAGTGCCGTCAAGCCGGTTCCGATTCATAGCGACCCTGTATAGGGTTTCCGAAGTGCGGCTGGTGAGCTTGAACCACCGACCTTGCGATTCAGACCGACCTTGCAGAATAGCATAGGTGGGCGGCCGAAAACTGGACTGTGGATCGTGCCTGGAGTTCTGGAGTTAAGTGGATCCCCAAATTTCTGCCATCGTTTCCGTCGAAGTCCCATATGGAGCTGACACTGGATCCCGGTGACCAGGACCTGCTGGGTTTTCGGCTAGAGGAAAGCGGAGATTTGGAGGTGGTGCCCGAGCAAGCACTGGAGTCTCTGCTGGACTGGGAGCTGCCGCCGCTCTCCGAGGTAAGTGAGAATTGTGAGTAGATGTAATGCGGAGTTTGGGAGCATCCTTGAGGCTTGGGGTGGTGGTGATAGGGTAAAGCCCGTTAATTTGAACCTTGTGCAGGTATTGAACGAGTGGGACGTGGAGGATTTTCTGTGTTCCTTGCTAAGTCCTCCAGCATCTTTGAACGCTCTCAGCTCTTCCAATCTGTGTCCTGTCGATCATGATCACAACTACTCCCTCCCACAGGATCACGTCTCCCTAGATTTAGGTGCGTCTGGAATAATTGAATTTATGGGGAGGAAAGGGCTCCTGGGCCTGACTATTCAGACTTTCCCTTTTGCAGACAGTGGGAGCTGTGGGCAGGAGGCAGCCCAGATGACTCTACTGCAGGTGAAGGAGCCCGCAGAGCAGGTAACCAGGTTTTCAGGATTATTCTCTATTGGGGGCAGGATTTCCCTCATCTCTGACATTTCCCCAATAATCCCAGGATATTGAAAGACTGATACTAACAGATGAGGAGAAGAGGCTGTTAGAGAAGGAGGGCCTTACTCTGCCTGGATCACTTCCTCTCACAAAGGTAAGACTCTCATTGACAGAGCAATGGCTGGAAGGAAGTTGTATGGTTTCAAGTAAGCAGGTTTTGTTAATTTTTTTATCAGTAATTTATAAAAGGACAGGGTGGAGAAATTCAGCAAATGTGTTGCTAATAGAAAGCTGGGACATGTGGATAATATGCTGAATGCAAAATGCTGTTTTTGCGGGGTCTGAAACATTCTCCTTAAGAAAAAAATTCAAAATTATCAGCACAGTATTACTTCAGGGCCTTGTGCAATTGAGAGACACTTAGACTTTGTTGGCTTTAGTCACCCATCTCTTGCTGAATGGTAGGATTAAGCTGTAGAGAACTTAAAGCTGGACTAACAGTGTAACAAGAATAAATGTAAATTCCTGTTAAAATTTATTGACTTCACAGGCAGTATAGTAAAATTGTGATTAAATTGTTCATCGACAGGTTAAGAAAATTTTAATTTCTGAAAAGGTACAAGATGAGTCAGCAGTATAACATGGCTCCTAAGTGAATGGGATTTGGAGGCTGTGCCCATGGAAGTGTTGCCTCCAGAAGGGCAGTGACTGCCCTGTTGTTGTATTTGCCAGGGCACATCTTCATGTCCATAGGATAAGCACTTGCAGTTAGTAAGGTTGGTAATTTAAACACACCAACCACTCCTTGGAAACTCTATACAGGATCACTATGAGTTGGAAGCTACTCATATGCATTATACAACAAATCTTAGCATCCAGTTTTGATCCAGATCTTTAACACATATTAACAAGATGGAGTCTATCCTGAAGAGATTAGTTAAGATGATCAGCTAAAGATTTTTAAAAAAATTTGAAGGCTAATGTATAGAAATCCTGAGGAGGCAGATTTGGGCCCAAGAGTGTTGTTTTTTTAAAAAAATGGTGTAAAAAGATCTGGGTTTGTTAACAATGGTGTTAACACCTACACCCTGAGATACTTGCACAGCAATCGAGCACTTAGTAATCAGATGATTGAAATTTGCTTTCCAATCCTTTGTCCAACGTTTCTCTGATGCCCTTTTCCCATCTTTTCCCAGAAGGAGGAACAAGCTCTGAAACGAGTCCGGAGGAAAATTCGAAACAAAAAGTCTGCTCAGGAGAGTCGTAGGAAGAAGAAGGTGTATGTGGGGGGTTTAGAGAGCAGGTATGAAAGGAAAAGAGGGACTCAAGAGTGGAGGGAAAAGACGTTGGAAGTGTTGTGTTTGAAGGGTGGACAGAGGCCACATCCCTGTTGTTCCCCCAGGATCTTGAAATACACAGCCCAGAATTTGGAGTTACAGAACAAAGTGCAGCACCTGGAAGAACAAAATCTGTAAGCAGCCCTCCACCATCAGTCCTTTCCTGTCTCTCACTTAATGTGGCCCCACTCTTTCCCATTCCACACTTGACCTCTGGCAGCTCCTAAATGCAGTCAGGCACTTCACTGTACCTCTGAGCTCAAGCAGTTCATAGTACTGGCGGAATAGATTCATAAATATCAAGTACCAAGAAAGAAAGGAGGGATCAAGAAAGACCTGAGTGGTAAATGACATTTGAATAGTAGTTAGGGTTCTGGGAATGGAGAAAGCATTTCAAGCAGAGAACACACCACTGTCTGGTTTGGCTGGAACTCTGACACAGATGAGTTGCAGCTCGAAGGCAGAGGGTATAGAATGCCTGGTGAGGATGCTGTGCATCATTGGTGAGCCTAACTACTGAAGGTATTTGCAAAGGAGTCTTGTCAGGGTAGAGGTTGTTTAGTGATTGGTTGTTTATTTAATAGAGTGCTTTAAGCTTTTTATTTGCAGAAAAGTGGTCATTGGCAAAAACAGGACAAAAATTAGAGAAGATCCAGGGCACAGATGGAGGGAGTGGCTTTAATAGGATGGTTTCATTGCATCTCAGTTGTCAGGACAGTGTGCTCACTCTCCTTTCTCTTCCTCTAGCTCCCTTCTGGATCAGCTGAGGAAACTCCAGGCCATGGTGATTCAGATATCCAGCCAAACCACCAGTGGCAGCACCTGTGTCCTGGTGAGGCTGCTGGGGGAAGGAGATGCTTTCCTCAGGTGGTGGGGACAGGGTGCGGTCCAGAGCCCCTTTCTTCATCTCCTTTTCTCTGTGCTCTAGGTCCTACTCTTCTCCTTCTGCCTCCTCCTCGTCCCTACTATGTACTCCTCTGACACAAAGGGGAGCCTGACAGCTGAGAATGGAGGTGAGAGGCTACCAGCCAGGCATGGGCTGGAGAGAGGCCCTGGTCTGCCCCTGACTGATGTCTTTTGTCTCTTTAGTGTTGTCCCGCCAGCTTCGATCCCTCCCCAGTGAGGATCCTCACCAGCTGGAGTTGCTTGCCCTGCAGTCAAAGGTACCAACAGACAGCTCAGACCATTTCCTCCAAGCTCCTGACCACTTGTGTTGCTTCTTGTGGCACATGCCTCAGGCTCCTGGCGAGGAGTCTCCTGACCTTTTCTCAATGCAATCCTGCCTAAGTCCCATTCTTCCTCTGCAGGCAAATCTCACAAGAAATGGGAGAGGGCTCCCTACTGTCATCTTGTGGGTCAGATACACAGGCTAGGTGTGAGGGTGTGTAGGGCCTTAGTAAGAGCTTGGGGGCCCCAGTCTGTGTCCAAATACAAAGGGCTGCCACTAGTCCTGTGTTTTGCCAGGAAGCCTGAGGCTCACACACACCAGACTTACTGGCTTTCTGGGGTTTTATTTTATACCTGCCTGTCTCCATCATCCCATAAGTGGACCTTGAACATTTCATGCAGGGAACGGGTAAGGAAAGAAATAAATAAATGATTGGGATTCCTGGCTCACCCCCAGCCCCTGTTTACTGGCCCAGTTGGGTGGTGGGGAGGGAGGTGTGATTGTCCTGGTGGCTCAGTGCTGCAGGAGGTTTAATGGGAGGGAGAGAAGGCCAGGCTGGAGGCTGGGTTGTTAGCTTCTCCCTCCCACAGTCACAGCGCTCACTCTGGGTCCAGATTTTCCATGGTTTCCCCTGGTCCTGTGTCCTGTTCAACTACTGGCCTGGAGGCCTTTTGACGCTGCTGCAGGGCCAGCTGCATGGCCCAGATGCTCAGAGGCCGCATGTATGCCAGGGAGCGGAACACTCGCTGCTGGCAGTATGCTTCAGGAGTCTGGAAGGCCAGGCCTAGGCGCTCCCACACGGTGCGGTAGCAGCCTTCTGCTGTCTGGAAGCCCTCGGAAGTCAGGCCCTGTGGGCAAAGATGATCATCATACAACTTGGCACCCCTGCAACAGCCACTTCAGCTGGGCAGATGGAGACAATAGAGGCTGTGACCTTAGGGAGCCTCCCTAGTCGGGAAAAGCTTGACCTACCAGCAAAAGCCCCAAAGAAGGCAGGAGCTGGGGTGCAGGCCAGAGAAGAGGCCTCCCTGAGAGGACCAGAGTGGGAAGCAGTCACAGAAGGGGGTGGACCAAGGTACAGATGATGGGGAGGTGGAAAGGGTAGTGTATTACCTCCTGGATCATGGTGGCTGCCAGCCCATAGACCACACCCACCCAGACTTCATCAGACTGGACACTGGACGTATCGGGGACACCGTGGGGCTGCATCCCATTCACAGCCCCCATGGCCCCTCCTGCAAAGGCCTGGACATTAAGCTCGAAGATAGTTTGGAGAGCACGCACCACATGTCTGCTAGGAAAAACCTGGAGGGGGCAAGGGCAGAAACATGGTCCCTTAATAATTGCTTCCCACTTTGAAGGAGAATCCTCTTTTCTCTCAGGCTCCTCCATCTCGTCCCTCTCACCTCCGTGTCTCCTTCTCCTAGGCCACAGGCCCTCAGGAACCACTGGCCGGCACACTGGTCAGACATGATGCTCCGGCACTGAGGTCGGGTGCTGCAGTCATAGTTGTAATAGCGACCTGGAGCAGAGGAACGGTGCAGTAAGGCGCCCCGTGTCCCCTTAACTGCCTTGAAATGCCTTTGCCTCCTCCAGCTAGCCTTCCCTAACTCACCATTCCACAGCAGCCTTTCGTAGGCTTCTCGGCCTCGGCTGAGAATGGAAGAGAACTCTTCGTGGGTGTCCTTTGCTCCACACAGAGTAGCCATCTGGACCATCACAGCCACAGCTGCCAGCCACAGCCCTCCACAGTATGCACTAACCAGGGACATGAGCTTGAGGTCAGACCAGCAGCTCCAGCCACTCCCAGTCAGTGTACCAGGCAATGAATCACTCTTCCTGGAGCCCACAATCCCCTTGTTCCCCACCTCCAACCTGGCAAGCGCTATCTCCCAACCTCGGCCCTGTGACGACCCATCCATCATAGGTCTGGTCTGCATAGCCTCCATTCTCAATGAGTCCATCGTGGTCCTTGTCAAACTTCATCTCAGACTCCATCACGGCCTAGAGGGAACCAAGATACTAAGGCTCTAGAGATTAAGGAAAGAATCCGAGCCGGACACCAGGCATGCTGCTGGCACATGACTCCCTTACCAAACACACAGGCCACATGTCCCTTAGGAAGCCTTGGTCACCCGTCAGGTAATAGTCCCGATAAACCTGCAGCACAAACTTCAGGTTCAGGTCCTTCCAGTCAGCAGTGTCGTGGATGACATAGGCATTGACTCGGAGCCATGGCTCATCATCTGTGAGAGGGGAGGGGACCTGGTTCATTTGCATTGGCGGCTAGGATAGAGTGAGCAGAAGGTGAGGGAGTACACCTGAGTGGGGTGAAAACATTTCTACCTGGGTCCCCAATGTCATGGGGGATGACGTTCCTCCTCTTCACAGGTGCCATTACACCACTCATCAGGTACCGTCGTTGTGTTAGGTCCTCCTGGAGAGTGGCCAGAGCTGGGGGAAGGAAGAGTCAAATAAGTGGGTGGGAGTGGGCTAAGGCACCAAGCTTCGAGTGTGTGTGCATGCACAGGAGGGGACCAGTGAACACTGTATAGGCATGTGTTGGGTTTGGGGAGGCTGAGGGAGAGACAATCTGACCAACCGCAAAGTTCAGGGATGAGAGCCAATTGAGAAGGGGGCACAAAAGGGACCCTTACCCATGTCATACTGCAGGCTGAGCTCAAGTTTGGGCCAGAGCATGAGGAGGGCGAAGGAAGCGTAAAAGTGCACATCATACGTGTTGTACATGCGATACTCCTGGCCTGGGGGAGTGAGAGAGACAGTTGCCAGAATTCCTGCTTTTTCCTAACAGCTGCCTATCTATGTCTTCTCTAGAGTTGGAGGGGAGACAGTCACCAGTTATACCCTTCATGTCTCAACCAGTACGTGAGGAGAGACAAAACCCAGTCTCCTCCTTTGCCGTACAGCACTACCTGACCTCAGGAGTATAGCCTGCCATACCCTAGCTCACCAGGAGCCCGTACCCTCAAGGTAGCCAAATCGTCCGTACTCCTGTAGCAGGGGGCGGAGCTGCCTCATGTTCCCCTCCAGCTCCTTTGGTAGGGCGTCCTTAGGAATTTCCAGCCATACCGTGCCTCCATCGGCCAGGAAGTACAGTTCATTGAACAGTGCAGATTTGTACCAGGCAGGCAAGGATCTGGGGAGTCAGGAGGAGGGAATGGTTTGAGTGTGAACCTCCCAGGAAAGGAAGGATTCTGGGGTTCAGCAGAGTGGGGGAATGCCAACTCAATCTTGGCACAATCCTTTTGACTTTTTGGTGGAGAGTAAACTGGGAGTCTCAATCATAGTTTGAGTGGCTGGGCGGCAGCAAGGTGGCCATAGAGATGGGCCCCATTAGCACCTGTCCTCCAGTATTGGGCTCTGCCAAGCTGAGATCTTCTCTTCCCAGTCTGCGTATCGGCACAGTGCATAGTGGCTAAGGGCAGGTGCAGCACTGCCATCTTGACCGAAGAACCTGGTGTACCTCCTAGGGTGGAAAGGGGCATGGCTGACAACATGGTTTCCAGCTGAGTCCCAGCCCTTGAAGCCCTGTACTTTCTTGACCCCATCACCTGTAGTAGACCTGGCCCTTGGCTCCAAACATGATCCTGGGCATGTCCCATGCCAGCGAGAACTCCAGGCAGCATCGGCCTCGAGGTGGCAGCTTGCTTGTGGCACACACAGCCCCTGCGATACCTACTCCTTTTTGAGAGGGGGCACTTTGGCCTGAGAGAAATACAGGATGAGTCAGCACAGGCACCCACCCTCCAGCTTCAGAACTAGGGCGCCCTAACAGGGAGAAAGACCTATTCATCACCAGGCTTCCCACCCCCTCCCTGTCAGAGCCCCCTTCACCAGTGGGGGAGTCCAGCTGTCCATCCTGAAGTAGATCCTGCCACACTTGCTGCCCAGTGCTGTCAGGGTCAAAGGCTGTGATGTGGGTTACCGTGGTATCTGCCTGTTAAGGGGCCAAAGACTCTGTGAGGGGAAGCCCACACATGATGGCTTCTGACAACTTCTCCAGTTCCTGTGACATACTCCCAACCTCCAAGTTCCAGAGATGTGAGGACTCTGGTATGGGTAGGATTTAGGGATTTATGAAGAGACCATGATGGAGTGGAGGTGTGCTTAGGGCCAGGGTGAGGGTGAGGCTAGGGGTTCAGGGACTAAGGTATAGGGGCAGGTCCATACGTTACGTTACGTTACCGTAAGTCGTGCAGCCACAGCCATTGTGTAGGGGTTTGGAAGGGTGGGGTGATGCAGCAGTAGCCCCTGTACAGTTTCCCCATCTTGTTCCAGACTGAACGGCTCATTCCACAACCCCCCTGGGGCATCATCCCCACCCCCCAGTCCATTCTGCATAGAGAACATGATGGACACTTCCAGGGCTTCGTCCCCTTCATTTTCGATATCCCACACAAAGACTCCAACCGGGAGGCTGCTGTCCTGAGGGCAAAAGACTGGACTCAGATAGTACACAGTGCAGCCCATCCCAGCCCACTCCCCAGGATCAGTCCTGGGCACATAGGACCTAACTCAAATACTCCCCATGAACTCTCTCCAGTCTTCCACTCCTGTCACACAACCAGCTGCCTACCAGGAGATAGAAGACCGGAGCCAAATTGGGTGGTGGTCCTGGGAAGCCAATGCCATGCTCATGGCTCCAGCCCCCACCCTTTCAGAGAATTTCCAGCAAAGGCAGATCCTGGGGAAGAGGGGCAATGGAGAGAACAGAGTGGGAGATCCTCACCTGGTAATCATGGGGTAAGATGGGTGTGATTTGGCGGCAGGTAAGAGTGACATTCTGGCCGGGAAGCTGATAAACAGTCCAGGCTCGGGGATAGAGGGCATGATAGAAGGCAAAGAAGCCACAGAAGGCCCAGTTCCAGCTGCGTAGGACACTCGGACGCTCCAAGGACAGGACTTGCTGGTACACAGTCTGCCCTTTCCGCCGTAAGCACACTGTAAACTAAATCAGGAAGGTAGACGGGCTGGAATGGGGTAACCCACAGGCACTTCAAAGTTACCTGGCTCCTGCTTTGTAACTCTGTGGTGAGGGAGACTACTTTCCCGAGCCTGCAATTGTTACCACGGGACCACCAACCTGCTGTCACCCTAGGCTTTGCCTCCAAGCTCGGTGAGTCACCACCCAGTCCTGCTGCCTCCCCTCCATTCATTTCCTAGACTCCCTGTGGTCTTGGTACCAACCCTAAGCCCTCACCATCCTTGCTTTTACTCTTTCTGCCCCTGTCACTTGGATGTCAGTGTGACCTTCCTTATAGACTATCAAAATATGTCAGCCCCTGTGTATGTTTCAGTGATATACCCCAAGACCCTCAGACTAAAGTCTAAACTCTTCTACCCGGCTTTCAGAGCCCTTCTTGATCTGACCTCTCCCTGCCCATCATCACCTAGTCAAGCACCTACTCTCTAATCTCACATACTCACTGGTTCTTGAGCACACTGCCTTTCCTCCTCCATGCCTTTGCTTTGGCTCATGTTCCATCAGGCAAAATCCCTCATTCTTTAAGGACTAGGTCAAATGCCATGTCTTCCTCAAGCAGTGAGCCATTCTCCTGTGTGTTCCCACATATCTCAATTCTAGCATTCAATGCATTCTGTTACAATGTATCATTTATCATTGGGGGGCGGCCCATTGCTTTACAGATTCTTTGAGCACAGAAGATCCTTTCTAGTTCTTTGGTGTACCTTTCTCTACCCATGACTCCTTGGCAGAGTTGGGGTGTGTGGCGAGAGGACAAGCAAAGTGTGAGCAGTGTGCCTTTTTCCTCAGTACGCTACCCATCCCTGTCACTGGAGCACTGATGTGGTCTCATACTCTATATTCTCTAAAATGTAAGCTCCTGGAGAGGAGGGGCTATGAGAGATTGCTATCTTTTCCCTTGGTTCAAACTGTCTGATATTTTTACTGTATGTATAAAATATCATTTCATGTTGTTGGAATAGAAGTCTGTTAAGACCACAGACTTTTAACTACAAAGGGAAGCACTGCTGAGTCCAGATCTTTCCATCTGTCAACTCTGTGACCTTGAGCATATTACTAAACATCTCTTGACCTTAGTTTCCTCATTTGTACAGTGGATATAATAATGGCAGTTACCTGGTAGGATTATTTTTCATCTTAAATTTATCATACAAAAAGCACCCAGTACAGTGCTTAGCACCTGTTAAGCATGCAATAAAGGATAGCTACCATTATTACTTTAACTGTAGAGTCCCAATTCCAGAGGGCATTCCCCTTGGGATACCTAAGGGGTGAGCCAGAGAGGAAGCTTGGGGCATTGGGCAGGGCTGGTAAACCTGAACTGGGAAGGGCACTGTCATTAATTGGACACAAGGTCTCCTGGTCATTTTTCCTTTGAAGATGAGCTGAAAGCTGGAGATATCCCTCCTACAGGAAACAGGAACTTGGTGGGTAATTCAAAATGGGAGATCACTAGAATGAGAGAATGACAGGCCACAAGCTCTGGCCTAGATGTAAAGAGGAAGCAGAGAATAAAGAAGTGCAGCTTCAGAAAAGGAGAGAAAGCAGAGACCTATGTCTAGAAGATGATGGCTTTCCATGCCCTAAGCCAAGGAGCCCCCAGATGGGGCATCGCCAACTGCAGAGCTGACCTCTGGCTGCAAGGTGGCAATTAGATAGGACAGAGGTGCAGATCTTTCCTCTTTTTCCATGCATTTATAGACTTCCAGGTTTTGTTTGCCTTTAAGGTCCTACCTACCAAATGTTCTTTTTTTTTTTCATCCCGGTTAAGTGATCTAGGAAGTCTAAACTCTCTGTGGCTGGGTACTGACTCAGCTGGTGGAGGTAGGAGGTGTTTACTAGAGAAATGGAAGGCAGGGGAGCCAGGGCTGTTTACTCTTTCAAGGACTATGTATCCTGTGTGTCTTATTTCTATAGTATGTCCTAATACAGGGCTTGGCACATGGAGAGCATCATGAAAGTACTTATTGAATCATATACAAACTGAATTGGCACATCCTACACTAGCCAAGAGGTCCCTCCTGGACTGGGTAGGTCCTATCCTGAGTCTCTCTCCTCCACCTCCTGGCTCTTACTTGGTCAGCAATGACTGTCCGGTGTTGGTACATTCCAGGGTTGAGCTGCCAACGACAGAACTGGCCTCTCCAGCCACGGGTGATAGTACCTCCCCCGATGCCACCTAAGGGACAACCTATAGAGAGAATCAGAATGGTCACTAGGACATAAGAAGATAAGGATCTTATTTTCACTTTCTGGACTGTACAGATGGGTTCTTCTAAAATCCCAGATGTAGGGTAGTGTGACTTGCATCAACTGCAAGCTTTTTTCCCTAATGCCATGACAGACCTGAGATGGGCAAAGCGGGGGTGAGGCTCACCATAAATCTGTCTCAAGGGCACACAATTGATCATATCAATGAAAGGTGTCTTCTTCTCCACCTGAGTCTTCCGGTACCACCACTGAAAGTACCTGAGGAAAAAGAAGCAGTGTGAAGGGTAGTGGGTGGGTAAGTGGTACTCATGGGCTACAGTCATCGCCTCCCTCTGTCACCTACTAAATGGCCTGAAGACCCATCTCTTCCTTTTCCAAACCTCTCCTCCTACTGACTTCTTTGTCCCTTTAGCTCACAGAGTGACTGTCACTGTTTCTCCTCAGAACAGGCTTTCAAATCTTTTTGACCTCTCTACCACTGCTTCCGTTCAAACCTTAGGAGCTCCTATCCGAGGCACTGAAAGGGCCAGTTATGGGTTCCTGGCTGACACCACCACCTCTCAATAGGAACTGGCACAGAGCTTTCTTCTTTTAAAATGTTATTTTCTCCCCAATTATAAAAGGTGAAAATTTGGAGGATATGCTAAGTGGAAGGGGGGTAAAAATCGCACCCACAGACAACCATCATTTACATTTTGGGGTTTTCCTCTGAGTGTTTAGTGCAGCATTTACACTGGAAGCGTTCTGATTTTGCTCTCACACACCTTAGTAAAGCCTTCAAAAAATCCCAACGTTTTCCTGGACTTGTCACCACCTGATTGAGACTCTCCTGGGGTGTACCCAATAGACAAGTGATTCAGTTTGGGATTCCAGGTTCTACCATCTGGCCCAGTCTATCTTTGATCTTATTTCCTATTTCCATTCAGGGTGAGGCTTCACTAAGGAACCCCAGCCCTGCCAGATTCTCTCCTACTTCTATTCCAGGCATTTTATATTTACTGTCCTAACATATCATTCTAACCATGGAGAGGGTAAGTAACTCCTCTGAACCTCTGTTTCCTCATCCACATAATAGGATACCTACCTCCTGTCCTACTGACCTCATGGAATGGTTGAAAGGATAAAATGGCAGAAAATGACATAATGGATAGGAAAGCCTTAACGTAGAATACCTACCTGTGTTAGGTATTAGTACTTGTAAACACACTATCTCAACTCCTAACCAGACACTGTCGTATTATTTCAATGTTCCTCATGTGAGTCTGACATTGTTTAGTTTCCTTGAGGAAAGGGAGAGACTAGTTGAATATTATCTAAAGTTCCAAGCTCAGGGCAGCGCTCATGGTTTGGAGTCAATAAATATTTGTTGAATTTACAAATGAGTGTGAGATACAAACAACAGGGGCAAAGAGAGATGAAAGACAGGAGTGGGAGGGAAGGAGAAATGTGATTAAAAGGAAGATAGATTCTGGGGGTAGAGGGGAGGGAAGAAAAGACAAAGGACTAGATGAAGGAAAGACTGAAGATCCTCTCTGGCAGCTCAGAGGAAACTGGACTTTGAAACTAGTCTAGGAGGGTGCCGCAGGGATAGGTCAGCAAGGAAGTAGAAATGCAAAATATGAAGATGGACAGAGCAAAGGAGTCTAGAATAAGCACTTAGTAACTCTCATAGTGAATTATGAGCTGAGCTGCTAACCACAAGGTCAGCAGTTCGAATCTACCAGCCACTCCATGGGAGAAAGATGAGGCTTTCTGCTCCCATAAAGATTTACAGCCTCAGAAACCCTATACAGGGTCGTTATGAGTTGGAACCGACTCCATGGCAACATACCCACTATTTATTGAATGAATGGACTTTGAATGGAAGAGAGAGCAATCAAAACTGAGTTCTTACCACACCTGAAGCCTGAGAACTCTGCCTTGCTAGAGCTTCCTTGGAATGCTCCCAGCTCAACTCCTTCTTAGGGCCTATTTCTCCTGCTTCCGTGATTTAGCAGCTGTCCATTCCTGGCCTATTTGGTCTACTCCATACCTTCAGCCTCAACTCAGGACTACCATTCAGAATTCTTCCTTGTCTCATTCCTATTCTCACCTCAAGACCTCATCCCATTCCAAAAGCTCTATGTCAGTGACCCCCACCCTATCCTGGTATGGGGAGTCAAGGCTCAGGGGGCTGAGCACAGCTTCAGGCCTCTCTGACTCATTTCATACTCAGGAACTGAGAGGCTTGATACCTCATTGTCCTGGTCCTAGATCCGATTTTCACCCCGAGGCTTTGGGATCAATGTTAGGCTGGGTCAGCAGAAGCCTGGAGAGATGATGCTCCTCCGGCCACAGGCCACCCACAGGAAGTAGCAAAAGCGTCAGATACTGAGGCAGTTCTGGCCCTTTCTACTGCTGAAGGCTGGGCAAGGGTAAATGGTCTGACTCCTCAGCCCCAGCCCCAATGCACTGATAGTTGACATGAAGGGTTTCCCTACTTAGGGGCTGTCAGAGCTGGGTTTCCCAACCTTTATGCCTTTATGTGTTTATACTGCATGAACTGACTCAGGATGACCTCAGGGTGATGCTTTCTGTCATCACATCTACCTGCTCTTGTTAATAGGCCTGGCTCCTCTCTTTGAACTCAGTGAGGATCTATCTAGAGGGGTTCTACAGCCCAGTACAAGTTCTGCAACTGCAACCCTTGGGGTGGGGGAAACCAGGGCAAGCTCTGGGTGACTGTTACCAAGAGCTCTGGGGGATACCCATGGCAGTGCCTTTTCTGGTCAGAAGTCATCTCTGTTTTTCATACCAGGGCCTGTCTATTCGAGGATAGAGTGGTCTGCATGTCTCCTCACCCACTCCTTAAGCAGAAAGAAGCAGGTGGGACATGGTGTGCCTAGAAGAGGTACAAAGACTGTCCTAGAAGCTCCGCCTCCCAAATAAAAGAACATTGTGTCAGTACCACGGCAGCCACACTATCTTTTCCTACCTGGCCCCATCTTGCCACAAAGTATCTGTTGTTGTTAAATGCTGTCAAGTCTTCAGACACATAGCCACCCTGCATAGGGTTTCCAGACTGGCTGGTGGGTTTGACTCGCAGACCTCAGGTTAGCAGCCTAGTGCTTATGTTACAGCACCACCCTCTGTCACAAAGGATAGTCAATCCCAAAGAGAAGAGAGACTGAGAAAGGGCAGGGAAGTGGGATAGACTGACTGCTGGTCCTTTTCTGCTGAAAAGACAAGAAGCTGCTGAGAGGGAGGGGTTTGTAAAGACATGTGAACTGGTCTCAGCTTCCAAAACCATGGGCCTATAAAATGCTGGGGATATGTGCTTCATAGGATAAGCACTGGACTGCGTGAGAACCACAAGGGTGGTTCCAACTCCACAGCACTTAACAGCAGCAACAAGGGGCCACCTGGTGTGGCACTACAGGATAAGCACTGGACTGCTAATCACAAAGTCAGTGGTTCAAACCCACCAGCCACTCCTTGGAAACCCTATACAGGGTCCCTGTGAATCAGAACCGACTCGATGGCACTAAAACACAATAACAACAGGGGCCACTTAACCAGGATAAGGCGCTTATTTTTCTCCCTCCTTCCCACCTCTGCTAGAAGTCTTGTGCTGAAACAAAGTGAAGCAAAAGAGTATCTAAGCAATGGGGTCTACTCACCTCAAGCCCATGCCTATATACTTTATCATGTTGCTTAGAGAGATGTTGTTGGCATTAAAGGGTTTCCTCTTCTCTGCAAACTCGTGAGCTAAGCAGATGCGCCAGCCAAAGGGAGGCACCTGGTATCCCCTAGCTTTACCCTCATAGGAAGCCATCAGCTGCCCGGAGTTCTCCGGGTTGCAGCGGTCCGGCTCATCTTCGGGTCGGTTGTCTTCAGGGTTCTTGGAATCAGCAACGTACACAGCCTCAGCGCCTCCAGAATCTTCAATGCAACGAACTTGCGGATCCCCTTTGACGAAGCTGGTCTGCTTCGAAGTTGAGATTCCGGTTTCCATACTCCCTGTATCTTGGGTCCCACGACCGCGATGGCCTCGGATCCCGAGCCCTCTGAAACCAAGTATCTCTCGCCAACCAAATCTAGATGCAAGCGCCTGTGGTTGTTAGGTGCCGCCCCGAAGGGCCGGGTGTTGGGGACAGCGGAGGTGAGCTGGTGCCTCTGCGGAGCCCAGGAGCTGTTGCTGCAGCCGTGGCGGCAACAGTAATAAAGCCGCCTCGGACTGTCCCACGGTTGTCTCCCTGGGTCCTGGGCGGGAAGGGTAGAGCCTCATCGTCATTGGGCCGCGGTGATTAGAGCGCCGGGCCAAAGGGCGGCAGGGCCCACAGCGAGGGGAGGAGTCCCGGGGCCAGCCCGCAAGGCACCGCCCCCGGGACCGGCCCGGGAGCTGGCGGTGGCGGGCGGGGCGGGCCGGGGGCCCTGAGCCGCGACACCAGACCCTCCAGGGTTGGGCACCGGGTCCCGCCGGCCGGCGTCCGGGGCGGACTCTGCGCTCAGGTTCCGGCCTGTGGGAAGGTGACCCAAGGCGGGGGAACCGCTCGAGCCCTTCCCGGTCCAGCCAGCAGGGCGCTTCCGGCCGGAAGGGACTCAGTGGGAGTGCAGAAGGGAAGTCCCGCCTCTGCCGCGCCGTTGTCGCGGGGAAGACTGCGACACACCTGGCTGGGTCCTAGAGGGTCGGGCAGGTGAGGGCATCGATGTGCCGTTTTCACCGTGTGAGGTGGCGGGCGTAGGGGCTCGAGGGGACGGATGGGTGGTCGTGGCCTTGGGCAGGGGCCTTTAGGTAATGGGGCGGAGACTGGCCTGGGGTTCCCGGCGGAGAAAGGGAATAACCTAGAGCTCAAAGGGGCGAGAGTCTGGGATCCTTCTCCCAGAACTGTACTGATTCAGCTGCCTGCCGCCTGCCGCCTGCCCACTCCCCAAACCGTGGTGTAGACCACCACCACAGGTCTCACCCTCCGGGTTCTGGCCTCAGACAACCTTTCATGCTATGTGCTGACTTCCGATCCCCCTTATTTTCTTCTAGGTCTAATCACGAACTGCCATGATTGAAGTGGTAGCAGAGCTGAGCCGGGGTCCTGTGTTTCTGGCGGGGGAGGCACTGGAATGTGTGGTGACCGTCACCAACCCCCTGCCTCCCACGGCAACTTCTGCCTCCAGGTGAGGATGCTGATACTGAATGAAGAAGCTGGCGCATCCCACCTCCAGTGTTAGTCTGCAGCTTAGGGCTGCCCTGTAGCTACACCCATCCACTATCTGCTTATTCATTGTGCCCTCATTGTAGGAAAAGAATATTTAACAGACAATGTGTATGACATAGTCCTCCTTTCCCTCCCCCCTTCTCCATGTCCGTTTATACCCATTATGTACTTCTCTCCGTTTAGTGGTTTCTTTGGGAGACAGGGAGTGTCTGGGTTTCCCGATCTCTAGGACTGCTGTCTCACCTTGTTTCCTGACAGTGTGCTAGGGAGTTGAGAGAGCATTTGTGAGATCAGAGACTGCCCTCTGAAGCCGCCTTTTCCTCTTCCCATAGTGAAGCTCTGGCCTGGGCCAGTGCCCAAATCCACTGTCAGTTCCATGCCAGTGAGAGCCGAGTAGCACTGCCTCCTCCTGACTCCAGTCAGCCTGATGTTCAGCCTGAGAGCCAGACGGTCTTTCTGCCACACCGAGGTTACATGGGGCATTGTCATCAAAGGGTGCTATTGTTAAGTTGGGTCCTTAGAGTTGCTGTCACATTGGGGGTGTGTGTGTGTGTGGGGGTGAAATGGCCTCTTTAAGGGTTTCAGATTATGTTCCTATCTCACACCAGAAGAAGAAGGGGAGCTTAGCTTGGGCTGCCCTTTGTTAGCAGCCCTTCCGTGCCCCTACTTGCTTGCTGGTCCTGTACAAGTTCCTAGACAACAGGGTCATGACATTTCAGATGGGCTTTTCTCTTTTAGGAGAGAGAGGTCAATGCATCCTTTCTACTCCACCGAAAATCCTGTTCTGTGACTTGAGGCTAGAGCCTGGAGAGTCCAAGTCATGTAAGTGATTGCCCACCCCACCCACTGCCCCACTCTCCCCCCGGATTGCCTTCTAAGTCCTGGAGGGGGGACTCCTCTGGCTACACTGCTAACTACTACTTCCCAACCAGACTCCTACAGTGAAGTCCTGCCCATAGAGGGACCACCCTCCTTTCGAGGTCAGTCAGTCAAGTACGTCTACAAACTGACCATTGGCTGCCAGCGTGTCAACTCTCCCATCACTTTACTCAGGGTTCCTTTGAGGGTGCTTGTGCTGACTGGTAAGTAAGGGTTTCCAGAGGGAAGGGATGGGGAAGAGGCTCACCAAAGCAGAAATTGTGTAAAGGAGTTCATAAGAGGTGATGAAGGGAAGTTTCTGGGTCTTCTGGAGGTGCTAGACCAGGGGTGAGGAACCTTTTTTCTGCCAAGATTTATAATATCATTTGTGTGCCATGCAAAACTATCAACTTAAAAATGAGTCTGCTATATTTGGTCAAATATTTAATCCACTCACCCCTAATGTGATGGTATAGTGAGCACTGTGGGATAAAGCACTGGACCACAAGTTCGGTTTGAACCACTAGGTCGGCGATTCAGACTTACCAGGCACTCTTCAGAAACCCTATACAGGACCACTGTGAGTTGAAACCAACTTGATGGCAGTTAACAACAGTGTGATGGCTGAAACTGGTTGCCTTGGCAGGGCCAGACCAGATGTTCCCCCACCCCTGTGCTCGAGTTAGAGAAGTCCAGTTCTGGAGAATAGGCTGACATGAGAGCTTTACTCCTTACTTTCATCTCTCACAGGTTGCAATCTATAACCCTCACCTCTACTCCCATTTCTGTCCCTCCTATCAACTTTTCCATTCATTCTCTCTCTAGGTCTTCAGGATGTCAGGTTTCCCCAGGATATGGCTGTGGCCCCATCCAGTCCATTCTTGGAGGAGGATGAAGGTGGAAAGAAGGATTCCTGGCTAGCTGAGCTGGCTGGGGAGCGCCTCATGGCTGCCACATCCTGCCGCAGCCTCCGTGAGCATCCTTTCTGAACTGTTGCACCTTACCCCTCCCCTCATGGTATTCCTGTCTCACGGACAGATTTTCTTAACCACTACATTCATTAGTGAGGATCCACTGATAGCTCACACCAGATTGTAAAGAAAAGCCCCACCTTTTTGTCCTAGTTTCTAGTCTTGGGCATTTGCCAGTGTGGACTCCAGACTTACATCTTTCTATTCTCCCTAGATCTGTACAACATCAGTGATGGCCGAGGGAAAGTCGGGACATTTGGCATCTTCAAATCTGTATACAGACTTGGCGAGGACGTGGTGGGGACTTTAAACTTAGGGGAAGGAACCGTAGCTTGTTTGCAGGTAAGTAAGGAGAGGGCTCCTGGGATACTAGGTCTGGAGAGGGCTAGGATGGAGAGAGGAGACTAGCCTGCATGAAGAGAGGTGCTGTGTAAAAGTGGAGAGTGGGTTCACCCAGGGTCCCTTTCATAGGTTAAACAGCTGAGGTCGGGCTTCTCTCACCTGGTCAGCACGCCCTGATGTCTGCTGGCCTGAACCTTTCTCCTTGCTCCCAGTTTTCAGTAAGCTTGCAGACTGAGGAACGGGTACAGCCTGAGTACCAGCGGCGTCGCGGGGCAGGGGGTGCCCCTGCTGTTTCCCATGTGACTCATGCCCGACACCAGGAGTCCTGCCTGCATACAACCAGAACGAGCTTCTCCCTCCCCATCCCTCTCAGCTCCACCCCAGGCTTCTGCACAGCAGTTGGTGAGACTCCGATCACTATGGGGAGGAGGGAGGAATGAGGGTCAAGTTCTGTGCTTAGGCAGAGTGTGATGGATTCTGATTTCCTATCACACTCCCAGATATACCCACCCTGGCTGCCTTCTGAAACCGTCCTTCAACCTCTACTCCTGTTTCCTAGACACACTGACCACTGAACTCTTATCAGCTTTGCAGCTCTCCTTCCCCACCCCTACCTGTTGGAACACTTCAAACTACCTCATCTTGACTGTCTCACTCCTAGGCTTTTAGGGACTTGACTCTGCTAGGCTTTTCTCACTTCTCTGGTTAATGCACAGCTGCCTTTAGAAAAACCCTTGGTGCCAGCTCCCTGCCCTGTGACATCTCACCTTCTTCCTGAATACAGCTTCTCATCACTAACCACATCCTGTCATTTGCCTTTTACTCCTGCTGGCTTCTAATGCCTCTACCTTTGTCTCGTTGTTTTTGTTTTTTTTTTACCCTTCTAGTGTCCCTGAAGTGGCGATTGCATTTTGAGTTTGTCACATCCCGAGAGCCAGGTTTGGTGCTCCTGCCCCCCATGGAACAGCCTGAGCCTGCCACCTGGACAGGGCCTGAGCAAGTGCCCGTAGACACCTTCAGCTGGGACCTCCCCATCAAGGTGCTGCCTACGAGCCCCACCCTGGCCTCATATGCTGCCCCAGGCCCTAGCACCAGCACTATCACCATCTGAAACTGGCCCAACTGTCCATTTGCCTTCAGGACACTGAGAATGCAACACCTGGACTTTAGTAGGGTCCACTGTTTCCACTTGGGGCGCAGAGGCACGGACAGTAAGAGGCAGACTGTCAGCTCTAGTATTAATTTATTTATTCAGAATAAATTGGCAGCTGCTAGTGGTTTCCCTGGAAGTGGCAGCAGCAGTGGGCAATCAGCCGAAGGATGATCAGTTGAGTTTAGCTGGAGCGGGGAGCAGGAACCACAGGATCAGGAGTGTTAGCTGAGCCCCACTCTGGGTTGGGTCTTCCCCCTTTACAAGGCAGCCGAGGGTCAGATTTTTGAACCAGAGAGAACTGGCAGGTTCCTGCCTCCTGACGTACCTCACACCCATCAGGGAAATCGATGGGATGCTGGGACCTAAGGAACCAGAGGATGGGGAAGGAATCAACAGAGTGAAAGGCCACCTCTATCCCTGCCCACAACCCTCTCTCCCAGCAGTCCTCCCAGATCTTCCGTACTGTGTCCTGGCTCCCCCCATTAAGCTCTAACTTAACCTTATATGGACTTTGTCATCATTTCATTGCAGGGATATTTTCCTTCCAGATACACCCTTGTCTCCCTCACTCTGCAACCTGTTAACTTTCTTTTTCACACTCTTACTGGTACCTTCAGTTTGGGCTCAACTTTTCTGTTCATTCTCACATCACAGCCTTCTAGTCACTCCCTGGCTGTCCCTCAGTCCCTCATGTCACTGGCCATCCTTGGTCACTCACGTGTCACAGCAGCCCACACCGACAGGATGCAGACAGGTGCAATGGAAACAGTCCTTGCGGAGCCAAGACTCACCCAGGGTGAAATATTTCCCCTCATAGTGACAGGGGGCTAAGGGAAGAATGGCAAATGTTAGTGTGGTGGGGAACGGTGGAAGAAGCAAACCCCTCTGGTCTGACATGGAAGCAAGTAAGAACACACTCCCTCATATTTTGTTTCATTTTCTGCTTTAGAACTGGGGGAAGGAGGGTAGCTATCCTGACGTTCCAACATAGGTTGATCAGTAGCCCCTCACCCCTAACTCTGTTCTTTATCTCTTCCTAATACCTCCCCCCGCTTTACCTTGAGCTTGGAAGTAGCACTTGCTGTGGACTCCTGGGTGCTGGAGGAGTAGAGAGATCACCAAGCAGATGAGCCCCTGGCCTCTCAGGGTTCCTTTGGCCTGTCTAGCCCAGAGCATCCTTGGGGCCATTCCTGCCTGCAGCACTGCGCTCTTGGACCCTTTGTGGCTTCTGCCTCCTTGGTTTCTTCTTGTTTCTTTCCTTGAATTTCTTTCTCCCCTGGGCTCCTGTCTCACACCATCTCAGTGCCCTCTGCTCTCCCAGGCTTGGTGATGTTTATAAAGTGAGGACCCTGGCCCCCTGCTGAGCAGAGCTGGAAAAGCTGTAAGTCTGCTTCCTGAGGTGAGGGCATGAAAACAAGAGGCCTAGCTTTAACAAGCTGTGAGCGCTGATTCATGCCCCAACATAGCTAGGGGAGGGAGGTGACCGTGGAAGGGGCACTGGACTGGGCACTTCCTTACTAAGGAGTTGGGAGGGGTGAGGGCCCCCAGGTGGTCCCCAAATCTCTTCTTTGGCCTGTACAGAAGGAAGCATTCCACTGCCCCCCTCCCCCCAGCTCCAGGGGTGTGTATGCTGGGATCCCTGCCTGGACCGGAGGGAGGCATTTCCTGGGGATGGCGAATCCTGTGCCCTAGCCAAACCAAGGAGCTGAAGTGGGGTGCGACAGCCAGTCTCCAGGAGAGGGAGCAGCCACCTGGAGTGCAGGATGCATTTCCCCCCAGACCCTGGGGCATGGTCTCCTTGAAGTAGCCTAGAGACAGGGCTGCCCCTCCTAGCTGGGGAAGGGTCTCCAGAACAGAACTCTCCATTGTCCCTTACTACCCTGAGACCAGGCAGATGCAAAAGCCTACCTGGGGATGGTTCTCCCCTCCCTTTCAGAGAACAGTTCCTCTAAATGTGCTAGTGGTACAAGTCTAACTTCACAGAGGTTCCCCTCTTTCTTCAACAGGATGGAATGAGATTTTAGAAATTTATTCTCTGAAATCCCCTTTTAAATTCTGTGAAAGTTCTGGAGGGCTTCAAGATGGCTGATTAAGAGCAGAGGCGGTGGCGTCAGACTTTTTGCATTCGGTTCTGACTCCACTAGCTGTGCACCTGAGCAGACTGTTTCACCTCAGCCTGTCTCCTCATCTTTAAAATTGGAGATAATAATGCCAGCTCGCAGGCTTGGTATGAGGACTAAATGAGATAATACATGTAATGTTCTTAGCACTGTCTCTGGCACATTGTTGCTGTTGTTAAGTGCCATCGAGTCGGTTCTGACCCATAGCGACCCTGTACAGGGTTTCCGAAGGAGTAAATCTTTACAGATTAGAAAGCCTTATCTTTCTCCCGCGGAGTGGTTGGTAGTTTTGAACCGCTGACCTTAAGGTTCGCAGCCCGATTTGTAACCACTACGCTACCAGAGCTCCTTAGCACATAGCCCTCAGAAAAAAAGAGTTCCTCTGATTGATGCAAGACCCCAGAGACTTTGCTTTGTTTGGATGCTATTTAACAGCTCTGTGTACACAACTGAAGGTTCTTTTGGAGGCTGCTACTCCTGGCATAGACTGTCCTGTCACATACTCCATGTTATTCCTACCACTGCCTTTAAATACAAATGCCTCCAAGAGAATTTTTGTTTTGGTCCTTGTAGCCTTGAAATTCTGAATGTGTGGTTTAAAATCAGTGGTTCTGATTTAACTGTTCTTGCTTTCCCCAGGTCAAACCCATCACCTCTCTCTTGGGAAGTCCCAGAGTTAGAGTTTTCCAGCTTGCTCCCATTTCTTTCCATCCCCACCCACATGGAACTCTTACGTTCTCCTCACCGTCCATTCTAATGCTAGCCATCTCTTTGATATAAGGCTGCTTGCAAACTGGATTTTTTTTTCCCCACTTTAATATACTTCAAAGACCCATTTTCCAACTATTCTTATCTACAGGGTAAGGTCACTTAGGCATTGATCCCATTTTTCCCGTAGGCTCCAGTCCCATTTATTCCAATACCCTCTGCCCTCAATGGATAAGATGCAGCTATTTCAGCCTTTTCCAGGGAGCCCCCCTGCCTCTCAACTGTTCAGAAACAATTTCAGTTTACTGCAAGCTCCCTAACCAACCTCTTCCAGAAAGAGCACTTAGATTGAGGGAATTTCAAAATGTACCACACATTCACCCTAGTTTGGTTTCAGCCCCTTTCCAAAGGGCCAAAAAGAAAGATAAAAAAACTCAACTCTGTAGCAGGGTGGCCTGATGTTGGCTATGTGTGGGCATGGCCTTGGCCTCCTGTTGTCTGGAGCAGGTGAATTAGAAGGCCTGTCTTGCACAAGGACCCAGAATCCCAGTGTTCAGTAGCTTTGCTGCTGCTGGGAGGGGGATTCAGCTGAGACCCTGGAAGGCTGGGCCGTGACTACTCTGCTCCTACAACCCAGAGCCAGCCCAATAGGGGGAGAATGAGAGCGAGAAGCTATTGAGCCTGAAGGTGGTAGTGGTAAAAGGTGAAGGGGCTACCGTGGTGAGGGTAGGATCCGTGACAGAGACTGAGAGGGGACTTTGGAAAACAGGGGTTGAGCCAAAATTCCTCTCCTAGAAGTTGGGAGCAGCAGGGAGGTGGTTGGACCAACTTGCATGCCTGTGGGTATGTGCACAGCTATGTGTGTGATGTGTACTTCCTTCAGGCTGTGTGTGTGGGGTGGTGGTGGTAGTTTTGTGCCATGGAACTGGTTCCCACTCAGAGTGACCGTGTACAGGGTTTCCGAGGCTGTAAATCTTTACAGGAGCAGAAAGCCTCATCTTTCTATGTGTGCAAGCAGTGTTTTTCTTGAGGGTGGAGGCGAGATATTTGTGTATGTGTAGGGGGTATCAGTGGCCAGTGCCGAATGCCTCCTGGGAGAGACTGTGTAGGGCGCTGGTTGCAGAGCATGACTTGTATGCCTGTGTGTATATGTGGTGTGCAGTTAAGTGTGCGAGGTGTCTTGCAGGCGGAGTGTGTGTGTGTATACGGGGTGTTTTTCTTGGGGGTGGAGGTGAGGTGTGTGGTTTGTGTGTGTGTGTGGGAGTGTCAGTGGTCAGCACCGAACCTCTCTGACTCCTGGGGAGAGGCCATTTGGGGCACCGTTTGTGTGGAGCACGGTGGTTGGCTCTCGTAGCTCGTTCAGGGATAAGGAAAACATCCGCCGGAGGCCCGGTGGGGCAGCGCGCCAGCAACGCCAGGCAGGTGCGCGGGCTGAGGAAGTGAGCGCATTCCGGCCCCGGCAGGCCAGCCCTCCGGTGAGTCACCGCAGTAGCGCATGCGGGCGGATAGGAGGGACCAGGGCTAGGGGAGAATGAAGAGCGGCTTCGCAGAACTGGGAACTGGAGCCGCCAACAAGCCTCAGGAGGAGGGCCTTTATATATATATGTATATATATATGTATGTATATGTATGTATATATATACACATACACTAAGAGATTTGGGGCAGGAAAACCTCTGTGAGAGTTTATGGGGTAAAAAGATCGTTGGCACCCATGTTCTGGTTTCTCTTAGAGAGTGTCCTGGGAAACATTGTGGGGCTGGGAGAAGACCCCAGATGGTGTTCTGTGGAGCGAGAAAGCCATGGGAGTGGTGGGGGGGCGGTTTAGTTCGGGGACAGGTTTGGAGCTGTGGAGTGAGCACTCTGTTGACTGAAGTTACAGAAAACAGCCACTTTGGGCCTTGGAGGAGAGAATTAAGACGGAAGGGAAGAATTGCACACCAGATGGAAACGGAGATCTAACCTGTGACAGAGATCTGTCGAGCGGACAAAGTGAAGGTTAGATTTTAGGAAGTAGCACGAATTAGACTTGGAGCCCTGCTGTGGCGCTGTAGGATAGAGCAATGCACTGTTAACGGCAAGGTTGGCAGTTCAAACCCACCAGCCACTCTTTGGATACCCTATACAGAGTTGCTGTGAGTCTAACACACTTAATGACACTCAACAACAGGAGGTAGGTTTCTGTGAGTACATTTATAGCTTAAGTTGTGTGGTGCTATAGGATAAAGCACTCTACCGCAAGTATGATTTGAACCTCAGGGTTGGGGGTTCAGGCTCACCAGCCGCTCCTCAGAAACCCTATACAGGGTCACTATGAGTCGGAACTGACTCAAAGACACTTAAAGACAACAGCATAGTTAAGTCATTAAAGACTTTGAATGCCAGAATGAAGAACTTAAGTTTGTTCACAAAGTTAGAGTAGAGCATTGCTGGTCTTTGAGCAGGAAAAATAGTGGGTGACTTAAAAGCAGGTTTATGAGTAATACTGATTTGCTCATTATCATTTAAATATTGTATGACCCATTTGTCACCCAATACAAGTGATTTTATTGAATTAAAAATTTTAACTAAGAACAGAAAAGTTGTAACATCTGATTTCGTATTTAACACCCTAAGTGAATCTGTCAAGATATATGGTGTTGAGCTATTTCCATTGTCTTGGTGTTGTGTTGTTTTCTTCTCACTCATTGGAGTCAATTCTGTTCTGCTAGTGCCTCAGTTCTTCAGTCTGAGTAGCATAACACTGCTTAGTCTTCCTCTCCTTCATGTTACAGCCTCTATCTTTAACCTTAACTTCTGTGCCATTCTTTAACCTGAACTAAGTAAAACCTTCCTTGGGATAAGGAAGCATTGGGCTACAGTATTTATACAAAGACAAGGAAGTCTCAGTTTTACCCTTGTTAAGTGCTGCCGAGTCAGTTCCAATACATAGTGACCCTGTATAGGATTTCTGAGGAGTGACTGGGGAGTTTGAACTGCTGACCTTCTGGTCCAAGCAACTTTGTGGTCCAGCGCATTAACCTACAGCACCACACCAGGACTCCATGCCACACCAGGACTAAATGTTACTTATTATCTTCTGTGAACATGTATGTAATTTCTGTATTGACCCTTCAGTTTATTAAAAAAAAAGGGGGGGGGGGAGCCAAGTGAAAAGTATCAAGCTGTTTTATTCACACAGTATTTTCACAACATGGCAATTCAATAGACTTGTTTCTCTTGTAAAATCGACTCAAAATGGCATTAGTACTTGTCTCAGCCTGACACTAAGGCTGTCGTGACCCTTATAATTTATGTTATTCTGGACATTTGCAAGGATTAAGGGTCTTTTGGGGTCCTGGTGTGGCACTATGGGTTGGGTTAATGCATTGGACTGCAAGATCAGTTTAAAATGCAAGGTCAACAGTTCAAGCTCACCAGCCGCTCCTCAGAAACCCTGTGCAGGGTCTATATGAATTGGAAATGATCCTATGGCACTTAACA